AATGTATAAAAATTGACTTTTTTTCGGAAATTATCATTTTTACACTCAATTTTTAATCAAAATAATTTAAAAGCACGTACCAATTGATTTTCTTGACAGTATATTAAATAAGAAATGGATTAAAACAAGAATTTATTAAAAGAAAGTTATAATTTTCCAATTTTTCGCAAAAAATATGAAAAAATATTTAAAAAATCACCAAATTGCAAGGATAAATTGGTCCCCATTTGACTTAAAACCCTAAATATTACACTCACTGTTTTCCGGACTTTGTAGCTTGCCATTTTTAGAAAATAGGTATCTGCTTATTAAACTTAAACCAGTTAAAATTACTGTTTTTTTTAATAAGAGAAGAAAACTATTTTTAATCGAAAAAGAACTGTACACTTAACAAACTCTCAATCAATTGCTGAGTAAAGTTAAGTAAACACTTACTGTACGCTATACCCTCACAATATCGCTGAAAAACGATATATTACTAAACCATTGCAATATAGCGTACAGTAAGTGTTTACTTAACTTTACTCAGCTTATACTCACCCTCTCGTACTACCTACCATTGTATTTCAATCTCAATCAATTGTTTCATGGTTACTAGATTATCTCTTTCAAATATAAAAAAGTAAACATTGAAAACAAAATCAAATCTAATTTTTTTTTCTTTAGAATATAAAATGATTCACACTCCAAACCATATTTTACATTTTACATCACCCGAATGTTATTTCGATGCGAGTTTTTTTCTACCACTTTGCGACCTTTCACAAACCGCACATTTGTAACGTGTCTCTTTGACCAAACAGGAAATACCATTACCTACCTATAAACCTTTGCCTCCGCGCAGAAAACGCGCATCAAATAAATCAGAAAACAATTCCAGGAATACAAAAACCTGTAATCGGAAGATTTCCCCTCAATTATATGCCTACACTCACCTATTGAGTTTTAATTTGTAATTCAAATCGCCGTAATCTTCTCAACTTGCGAAACGAGCGCAAGAAAGAAGCTACAAAGGGAAGACAGCGTAAAACCAACAATTCGCTGTAATCGAGTTTGTTTCACTTTTCTTAATTGAATAAATTATTAACGACGCACACAAGCCTCCACTTAAACTCGTGTAAACGCAATAATTAATACAAATGTTCTTTTCTGGCTGCTCGATGAATCTTTAATGGCGTTTGGACGTGTTCGTGTTGGATAATTAAAATTTCAATAGGTTTTCATGCGTTTTATGTTCGAATCAGATTGTTAATTACTTATTAAAATATTTGAATAAGAAATATATAGTAAATTTTATTGAAACTAATATAAGTGTAAGCAAAGTTGCCTAACACTACATGCAAATAGATAGAAGTAGTTCAGAGTGTCATTTAACAACATTTTATGCAAATTACAGTAACGAACTGTTATTTGTCAATATACAAAAAAAGTTTTAACCCAAATAGTCATCAAATTTTTTCAGATTGTTATTTAACAAGAATTTGTGCAAATTACAGCATTTTACACGGATTGGTATGTGTTTAATCATTTGTAAGCTAGTAATAAACTTAATTATTCTTGTAAAAATACCGGTAAATATTTCCTGAAGTCTAAATATGAATTCCGCGTCGCTCAGTTGTATTCACTTGTGTTATGTTTAAATGATTTTGTTGTAACGCAACGTGCACCCCAACAAATTAGCAGAAAAATCGTGCTTAAGTTATAGAAATTTGCATTGCAATTTGTAGGGATGTTGGGATCATAATTACAACAATATTTCAAATGTTACCATCGATGTTATGTCTTTGAAAAAAAATTCTAGCTCATAATTGCTAAAAATTAAAATATTTTTCGAATATATTTCGAGAATATTAATATTTAATTTTAAAAGCCAATAAAATTCAAATAAATATATTTTATCAGCATAATAGTAAAAAAACTAAATTAATTTTTACGCCCCAATAGACAAATACTCAAATTCCCTCTAAATTTACATAAAAGAAGCTTTAAATAGCTTTAAATAAATTACTCGAGTAAAAGGGGTTCATGTTCCCCGGTACCAAGGTCGATAAATATTAAGTTTCGTTTCTTACGAAATAATTCTCTCCTTTTGATGAAACTTTGAATAGTTTCGGAGCGTACACGCACACATCACCGTGCTTATTGATGTCTAATGTTCCGTGTTACCTCCACCTCTAATCTGGGAACTAGGAAACGTCCACTGCCACATGTGCTTCCTCCACGTCCCATCGTTTCATGCATTCAAACTTAATTGATGCACACACGCACGACAACATAACGCAAGACCGCGTTACCGAACACAATTCGGTTCTGTATCAATGGTAGGTAAATTTTATACTCACAGATAGATAATTTGTAGTTCTACATAGAACACGAAATTATTACGTGTAGGTACAAGAGACGCGTATGCGTAACTGGATTTAATTAAATATTCTCAAATTTGGCTATTTTATACCCGAAGCGTATAATTTATCGAGTGTAGAAGCATTTATTGAGCGGCTAGAAGTAGAAATAGAAAAAATGTCGAGAGCAAGCTGCACACGCACGTGAACTTCCGGTTTTTTACGTTTTATTTTCTGTCGGCGCGCCGCAAGAAAGCGGCCAGCACGACGACGGAAACATTGAATTTTAACAGGCATTAGAATAGTATTTTGGTAGTAACGAACGTGGGGTATATAATGCACGAAAATCGAGGAATGCAAAGCAAAGGCGAGAGCAAAACGTTAGGGTGAAACCAAACCGACAAAAGTATGGGCGTCCCGCGTAGAAACTATACGTGAACACATGTCTAACAGCCGTTCTAGCCCAACACACAAAACCCAAACCAATAAAAAAAAAAAAACCGCCGGCGAATTCATCATGATTACAAAGCAATAATGAAGATGTTCACGAGTCGCGCGCGCAATTCCAATGATGGAATTTAATATGCGATGTGATATCGATATTTAAGCGTTTTTTACAACGCAGGCGATTGTATTGCATGCCCTGGGGGCCAGTTGATGGTATTTATATTTTTAATTGGACGTCGCGACTTAATTGGACCAATTAACGTAACGAAAACATCGCCGGTGCTGACCGCGAGCGGCGAGGACGACGAAAATTCGACAGTGGCTCTCGCCCGGCGATTTTGAGCGTTTCGGCGGGACGGGTGACGTGTGTTATAGCCTGTTGGCTGCGCGCAGCTCGCGTTCTTTTCATTCGCGATGACAACATCGCGGTGTATTTTCGGTGTGTTTCACGAGGTTCACGTTCACGGTCAGCTACGAATCGTTTCTTTTTTTGTATTTTGTACCAGCGCGAACACAAACAACCGTCTGCTAGTGGATGAAAAAACAATCGTCAACAAAACAACACTGTTTGCGGTTTAAATTCAAGCATCTTTCGAGTTGGAAGTTGAAGTTGATAAAAATGAATGTTGTTTTCCATCCATTTCAATTCATTAAACGCTGCACCGCGCGTTATATTTATGTACACTTTCTCTATCGTCTGCATTAGTTTTCACTTTCGTGCGCGCCCGCTCACGGGTTCAATCCACCCTCGCAACCCTCGCCGAAAACGCACGCGTCGCCGCCGTGTGGCCCAAGCGTCACGACCGCTCGATCCTTGTTTACATCCCGGCCCGGGTTTATCTGCTGTCTTTTGCGCGAGCGTCGCACCCCTCTGCAAAGGACATGCGAACACATGACGAGCATCCTGATGGGGTGAAATCGTCGAACAGGGCGGCCATTACGAAATAGGCGTTTCGTATCGATACTAACACATTGAAATACGGCGCACAGCGACGTCAACCTAACGTCTAACGCCAGGGAAACGGTTTTGTTCGCCCTGTACGAAACCCTGCGATGGAGGGGTGCAAGCGTACGCACAGAATAATTGTTATGTATTTTTAATTTAATCAAATAAAAAAGCAACCATTTTGAATGAATTTGTTGAATGTTTTTAATTCTTACCTTGGTAATCGTCTGCAGGTGACATATTCGTGAAGCCATTTGTAAACACCATTTTGTTATGAGGAAATGTCTTTAATACACTAATAATTAAACACTTTATCAGTTCAACACGCCACTTTACCGACTTTACTTTGTCGTGCACGCCGACACGCTGTTGCAAAATGCAAGAATGCGCAGCGTGCGCGCGCGGCAACAACTTAACGCGAACAAAACAAAACCAAGAAAAAGATAAAACCCTGGTTCGTGCAGGTTTTGCCGGCGCGATTCGTATATAAACAAAATAACAGGCAACGAAAAAGCGTAAACAAGTCGGAATGAGGATTGATGCGCGGGATTTAAGGCAAATTCGCCGAATTGAACCGTGCTGGATGCGGTCGGATGTGATGAAATTGTTCGTTGGGTTTTCAACGACCGCATGCAACTTGTTAGCAATCAGGTTACAAAATTTAGATTTCTAATAAAAATGTGTGTATGACTTAAATTTTTGTTACTAACCGTTCTGCGGCACGTAGGTACTATTACTGATTTATCACCCACGCGGTTGTTATTATTCTATTAACTATTATTATGTGGTGCACAGATTTTAGTTGAAACACGTGAATTAATGGTTATAAACTATCTATTGAATTGGCGCGAGATAAAAATAAAAGACACAAATCTAGCATAGAAAAAGACTAGTTTTGGGTTTTGAGTTAGGCAACCAAACATGCACCAATTGTGAAGCATTTTCAGTAACAACAGTACTTATGAACTTAATATGTTTTGAAACACAAAAAATGGTTTCTCTGCTTAATTACACATTAAAGAAAAACAACTTTATAATAATATTAGCAAATACGCCTAAAATGTTCAAGAATAATTGATATCTTAATATATATTTCAATTTACTTGTAAATCATCACTTTTTATGTTTTTACTTGGTTGAAATAAAGCACAATTTTCAATTGCATTCATTATTACGACCAAAAACATAAATTTCCTATTACTAACACTAAATAAAATGAGTTTGCAGCGCTTAAAATGTTTCAGCAATTAACATTTCTGAAATGTCACCGGTTTTGTACGCAAGTCGACAGCTGATGGTGAATCAGTCGATCGGTGACCCCATCCGACGTAGCGACGTTTCCGGCGTATCTGTTCGCAAAGCATAGTGATAACACTATCAAACGTAAGTTTACAAATACTACACCAAGGTAACATGACGATACCTACTATAATTCAAAACTATCCAACCCATAATTGATGACACAAATTTCCGGACAAAGGAACACAGCTGTCGAGTTTCGTTCTTCGATAATTAAATATTAATTTCGACCTGAATTTTCAGAATGTCGGGCACAGCATTCGTTGTTTTACCATCGCAAAGCAAACACGGAGTTATCTTCGGCAAGAATGCTGCGCGCCCCGATGGAGATGTTATGGAAGTGGTCTTTGTACCTGCTGGAGAATCTTCAGGGGACATACAAGTCAGTACATCAGTAAAACTTGATATAAAATTTAAAATTAATATATTTTTGTTAAGATAAGAATATTCATGAAGGGATTTATTGGATTTTAGTGTACCTATGTAAGTGTTGAAGCTGCAGGACCAACAAAAGCTGTGATCTTGAACAAATCAAGTTGGACATGGGGCGCAGAAAGTGGCGCCAATGAGTCTGGAATTGCAATTGGAACACTGGCGGTTTCAAGTAAATATTCTGAAGGGGATGCTGATGTGACAGTACCAAGATTATTAGGAGTTGATTTAGTTAGGTAAGTGATATTTATGATTCACAAGTTAAATTTGTGGATAAAAACATTAATTTACTTATTATTAGGCTGGGATTGGAGCGTGCATCAAGCGCATCTGAAGCACTGGATGTAATCACATCTCTCCTGGAAAAATATGGTCAAGGAGGGTCTTCTAGTGACAAGTCTGATGTGTTTCACTGCAATTCATTCATCATTGTAGATGGTAGCACATGTTTTGTTTTGGATACATGTGGGAAGCATTGGGCAGTTGAGGAAATTACAAGTAATTGTTACATTTTCACTTAATTTCCAACTCTAAATCATTAAATTGTCTTTTTAGGTGGATCAAAATGCATAGCAAATATGTACACAATAGGAACCAACATAACTAAACATTCCGAAGGATTACAAGACTTCGCGAAATCGAATGGTCTCTGGAATGGCGAAGGAGACTTCAATTTCGCTGCTGCATTTAATGTGAGCGATCAGCATAAAGAAGAAACGTATCAAAACGCATGCAAAGAGTTGACAAACGCGGTCGCTGCGGGAGCATTCAAAGAAAGCAACATGTTTCAACTATTACGCAGCGAGGAGTTGCTTGCGAATGCGAAATGCCCCACAATGGGCGCACAAGTTTCTACTCTGAGCAATACACGCCCTAGCGCGCATTGGTTCACTGCAACTCAAGATCCACGTCAATCAGTGTTCAAACCTTTAATGTTCACGCCCAATGCGGTTATTTCTAAACATACTGTGTGCCCCAATAAGGTAAAAATACAATCAAAGTATAATATTCTTGATCATGTTATACATTAATTGAATTTTGTTTCAGAATGAACCTCATGTTCTATTCTCTTTGCACCAAGCGGCAATAAACAAACAAGATGACGTACAATCGCTCCTCAGATCGATGGAGCAAAACTGCGTTGAGGAATTAGATGGCGTGATTGATACTCTGGGCGATGATCTCTCCGAATTCGACGAGCTACTTAAAGATTGCGTGGAGACCGAAGTTAAATTCTATCGCTAACTTGATTTTACTGACAAAAAAACGCGAAATCTTTGTTTTTGGCACCTCAAAAACCTAAATAGTTGTGACTAAGTTGAAAACTTAATTTTATATTATTTATTATATGTTATTCTATAATTTCCAGCACACGCGAGTGTGTTTTATATCAGTATTCGTAGATGTACCCGTGATATGACTAGTATTGATGCTTTTTACACGCATTCCAAAGCACACACCGTGCGCAATTATAAAAGTATTATAAAACTCGAAACAGAATGTTGTAATTACAAATCATAACTGCTTTAGGCGTCGCACCAAAGTTCATGTAGTAACTGCGCTCGTATAGAACAACTCTAGCTTGTAAGTTTGTAACTTTTGGCACTTTTACCAGTTCAAAATTAAGCATTGCATCAAAAACATTTAAAATAAACAGAATAAAAGATCACAAGTAATTGTAAGATGTTTGTAGGCATCACATGTACTCCAGAAGTTTAATTTCTTTTGCTTTTGTGATTTTTTTTATACGTATTTATAAACAAGTGGATTGCAATATAAATAAATTACATTATTCGCATAATAAACTGCCTTTTTTTCCCTTGAATTCGCAAGTAGACGCTAAAATTCAGTTTATTTGAAAGTTTGTAATGGCACTTACACTGCGACGATTAAATATAATATTGTAATAAATAATTTGTTATCAATTTTAAAAACATTCAGAACGAGTGACTCAGCTCGTTTTAAGTAGTTCCGCCTCGCGTGACTTGGCGTAAAGCTTTTCAAAGACGTCGCTGATGGGTTTATCTTTATCGGGAAACAACTTACCAAGTATGCTCTCCAGCAGCACATAGACCAGCCGGCGATTGAGTACCGGTCGCTGAAACAGCTCAAACACTGTCAAGAGACCTTTGCGTGTCGTGTCTGAACCGATGATATGCTTTAATTCATCTGCAAATAAACTAGCAAATAAAAACAACGAAGATAAAGTGCATTTGGATATAGATTACCAGTTAAACACGACAACAGTGCCACCTTGGCAGCAACTCGCGTTCGATATTTAATAGCATCATCTCGATCTTGTTTGATATCAGCTTTTACGCCGTTCGGCCAAAATGATTGTCTGAAAAAATAATTTCAACATAAGATTAAAAATTATATGTTTTATTAGGTACTCTATACTTAAAAATGTGTAAATAGTGTGCGACGTTTTTAGGACTAGTCATAATCTCGACATATTCAAGAATACGTCTGTTAACAATATCGCCAAACATAGTCCGTACGATTTGTCGCAAAATCGTAACAATGTTCCTCCTTAACCATTGATTCCTTGACTTTAAATCAAATACTTCATCAACCAGCAGTAACATTATACGTAATGGAATGTTATCGTTATTCTAAAACCAAATTTTCATTTTTCTCCTCAAATTTCGATGCAAAATATGCTAAAACACTTACTTCACTATCCAAATAGGCACCAACTTTCGACCCTTCGTGTTGCATCACCTTCACCGGTGTCTTCGGATGAAAAACCTTCTCCACCACCTCATCCACCGTATGCATCAAAGTCTCCGGCATATTTTTAATCGTTTTCATGCCGGATTTAATCGGATTCACAATCGTACCGATTGTATTTGAGATAGGCCCACCAGATGTCACCCTATCATACTCACCCTGCTCCAGGAACATCATCAGCAGTTCTTTTAGTCCTGGATGACTATGCAGAATATGCGCCTGTGTTATCTCCTGCATATAATTACCCAGCATCTTCATGCGTCGTTCTAATACTGCGCGGTCCATATTGTGGAATGTTTTCTTACCGGGGAATGTAATCTTGGCTAGATCCGAGTATTTCTCTTTAATTTTACATTGCAGGTCGTGAAAATCACTGTACCGGCGATAAATATGCCATTCTTCCAGAAATCCGCTTTCATCATACTGTCGACGCACTTGCGTCGCATAAATACCGAAAGTTTTTCCCTTCTCACAAACAATTCCGGTTTCGATGATTTTAACACATAACGTAAACATTCCCACTCGTAAATTCTCATCTTTTTCTTGCTCCTCTTCAGGTTTCACATTCGTTAGGTCGCTGTTCGAGGAGCCTATTGATTCCTGATCGACTTTTAAATAAGGTACATCACTGAGCGAGCGCGTATGCTTCGAAACACGTTCCAATGCATCTGGTGTTAACAATAATTCGTTTGTTTGACTTGCAGTGTAACCATTGCCCGTATGCGAATTACTGCTTCCATTTTCAGGTACCTGTTGGTGTCTGTATTCTAAATCTAAAGTGTCATACGCGTTTAGGCTGAGTACATCTTCCTCAACAACGTTCTGTTGAATCAAATCCAACTCTTCAAGCATTTTAAAATATGATTTGTGCTTTTTGAAACCGGGCAAAAAGTCTTCGTGTGACTGCATGATATCGAAAATCGCTTTCTGCACATCGTCAAACCACAGTTCGGAAGGTTCCTCGTTTATGTTACGAATGCGGAAAAACAGTTTGTGCACGATGCCTTGATTGACATCGATTTTGTACTCACTTTTATCGCCAATGTACTGATCGTAGATGCTTGCTGCAGTCGAGCGAATGTTTTCGTAGATACTCGCTGCGTTATCGTTGCTTATGCCCTTCATTTTATTCAGCTGCAGGTCACAGAGTTGTTGCTCGACCGAAACTTTCCAGCCTTCAATGTTTAGATAGAAGAAGATGTAGGGTTGTTTCGAAATAGTGGAAACATAGTCGATGTAATAAGACAACGCCACGCTGTTTTTTAAAATTGCTTCTAGGGGTAATTCTATTGTTTTCATGTCTTTATATTTTTCATAATCTGAATAGGAATCAATGGCATCTAAAATATTTAATATTAATTTAATATTTTAATAAAAATTATTACAATTACCTTCGAAATTATCCATTTTTGCAAGTCGACTATCTATTAATTTCACAACATAGTACAGACTGCTTAATTGTTGTTTAATATTTAAGTCACTCTCGCCGCCTGAATCTCTTGAACGTAACAGTTGAATCTCTTTTGAAACCTGTTCTTTGGTATATTTTAGTTCATCACAATTATCCGTTATTCGAAGCGTTGTTAAAAAAATATCGCTTGATGGAATATCTCTTACACACTGTTTAAAAAATAATATTTTCAGATTTTTTTAATACAAATAATTAATTTACACCAACTTACCAGCCATATAAAAGCCTGATTAATATAATCCGGATCCGAAAGCATCGCAATAAGCGGAATTATCACACAATTAGCAAAAATCTCTCTCAAAAAGAAGCGCAAAGCCTTGCAATCAAAGTCTTCATCGGGCAGCAAAAAATACAACAAATATTCGACGAGTTCGCAAAGGAAAGCTTGCTCCCCCTCCGCGTTAATACAAATCTGATCCCTGCAAATTTTATTATTCTCCATTTTGAGCTCCAGCTCAAAGAAGACATCCTCGAGCGTCGCTTGTTTTACATCCGGACTGTAAAAACGTGACTGACCTACATCGCGTCGATCACGCGTTGTTAGATTACGCAAAGCATCAGTTTCGCTCTTGTGTCGCTTGTGCGAACGTTTCGGACTGTTGCGAAGATCTCTGCGTGGCGAACCACGCGGAGACTTTGGCTTTTCCTGCTTTACCTTCGCGCGCGCTTGCTTAAACAATCGCAAATGCGTGGCAGCGTCGTCGACAAAGCGCGTTGTCAGGTAGGGAATCCAGTCGACGTTTTTGGCACGATTGGAAATATTGATGGCGACTCGCTGCGCCGTTTTGCGTATGGCTTTCTGCGTGAATTCATCATCGTTTGATATATGCGCGTACCACGGCAGAACATAATCTCTAATAATATAGTTGAGTATTTCATGTAGTGAACTGTCAATGATTTCACTGCCAGTCACTCTGTTATCACTTTTTTGAGTACGTTTGGGACTTAGAGTTTGTTTAAGAATCTAAGACATAAAAATAATTAAAATATTTATAAAAAATTTTCTTAATAAATGAAATACCTGTTGTAATCCTCCATCTGATATAATATTCTCCAAAGGATTTGACCCACAACTTCTATAGAAACTGTCAATGCTGCCTTTGCTTAGATACAGATAGGAAAGTAAGCTGTAAGTAAAAAACAAGGCCATGTAATGCATGTGTAAGCAGAATAATTAAATAGTAATGAGCATCACCCAACAAGGAATGTAGAAAAACTGATTGCAAGTGTGCTGCACCAGAAGCAACCGAAAGTCGTCGCGAACAATACGATAACGAGTACAATCCAAATAAAGGGTTTGTTATTGCGTTCCATTGCTGCAATCGTCGGAGGCGATCGGGTTTAGAAGAGAAACATATTGCTAAAAGTCCGCCACTGCTACCTGTTTGGTTGTGTTTATTTGAACCTCGTCGCCTTGTTTACGCTGGAGGGCGAATGTGCGCGTATCACAGAATGAATGAACATAGCGCGATTGCAAAATGCCCGCCGATATGTGGGGAATAAACTAGGAGTATTAATAAATGATTAATTTCTCGATTGTGGGACGAGTCGCATAGCTACTCAGCGATTAATTGAGGTTAAAGGTAAACTTTGGTTTTTGTCGCTTTCGTTTACAAGGACGCGAAGAAACACGAACATTCACGAAGATACAAAGTGACAGATACCGTCGTAAACAGAATATGCACAATGTGTTGCCTAACATAAAGTGTATAACATAATATAATATTTAAAATTAACTTATTTGTAAACGCGTTATCAGTATCAGATTACAACATGACACCTTTGTGGTGTATTGATTAGTACAAATTATGACTAACTTATCAATATCATAAGATAGTGTCATATTAGATACACTGTAATGAATTTCTAATTACGATTCTAGAATCCAGAAAACCTCCGTTGGTGGAATATTTTTAATAACAAATAGATAATGTTACCAAAGTTATCCAGACAGTCTATGGCATATTTTGCAACTAATTATAACAAACAAGTTAACTCATTTGGAATATTTTTCATCAAGGATAAAAATGACGCATGTCGTTCTTACCTTTTTATAACATCTTGTTATTATTGTCGATTATATCGTAAAAAAGGGACGAAAACAACACCGGTTCTTTTCAGGCAATAAAACAAGCTGCGCGCGCATACCGGCACCGGCGTTTCTGGTTATATCATACGACATCATGAACTCGGCGGCGGCGTGCTGTCCATGCGTCTCCTGCCCTCTTGCCGCCGATTCGCCGTGAGGCAATCGTAAGCGTATTGGTAGCCGGCGCCCTGCAATAAACTGGAAATTCTGCGCATACAAAATGTTCAAATCCATTCGAAAGAATTTGAATCAATAATAGTACATATTTAATTAGTACGAGTGTAGTTTCCGAGCTGGCGTAGTTATTAATTCAATTTTCAAAAAAAACTGAATAAAAAAGTTATAAACAAATGAAGGTTGATTATTTTTAATGCGCAAAACTAGTTTTAATAATTATTTTAATTTTATAAAGCTCGAAAAGCAATTGTAAGTATTTTGTTTTGTTTTTTAATGTTCTTTAATGTAATTGAGTAAAATTTTAGGGATTCCCTTCGCGGATGATCAATACACACTGTATAAAGTAGGTGTACCAGTACGTGGGGTGCGCCCGACGTGTGTGAGTTAATATTCGCCCTCGTAACAAGCCGTCGAGGGCGTACTAAACCTACCGAACGTAATCAAAGTAGTCGCAAAGCTGCACGCTCTCCGCGAGCAGGAAAAACCCTTTTCTATTTCGGCGCCGCATTGAGTCATCACAATCCAGTGCAACATATTCCCGTATTCCACGCGGTTCCAACTCCACTCGCCGGTCGTGGTTGCTAAGGTACGCAAGCAAGAAAAAACGCAGCACCGCTCCGCACCGCTTCTCGGCCTTCCTCCAGTCACGGGCCGCAATACCGCTCGCCACTCGCCCGCCGTGTGCACAGCGAAACCACAACGGTGTCGTCATCCATCGCGTGCTCGGCGTGTCGCGTTCGTAACTTGGTTAAAAGGTGTTGTTCCGGCCACCAGCGCGCCAGTCGCCGCTAGTCAGGTTTCGGCATTCCGCGTGTACACGACGCGTGCACATCCATCTCTTGTCGTGCGTGCTACATACCGCGTAGAAAGCGGATCTTCGGTGCTTCAACATCTCCACGAAGAAGAAGAAGTTCAACAGCACACCGGCATCATGCAGTACACGCAGGTGACGATGCCCAACTACTCGTACATCTTCAACTTCGAGTCGGAGTTCAAGCATCAACACACACGAACATGGATGGAAACCAATTGGACACTCGCCTTCTACTATGTGGGTCTGTACATGGTGCTTATCTTCGGCGGGCAGCACTGGATGCAAAGCCGTCCCCGGTTCGAGTTACGCGGCGTGCTCGTTTGCTGGAACACGGCGCTGGCGAGTTTTAGTCTAATGGGAGCAATGCGCACCGTGCCGGAGTTTATCACGACCATAACCCACCATGGCCTCTACCATTCGGTGTGCATACCATCATTCATCGAACAAGACAAGGTATCTGGCTTCTGGACGTGGATGTTTGTCCTGAGTAAATTACCCGAATTAGGCGACACGTTGTTCATCGTGCTGCGCAAGCAGCCGTTGATCTTCCTCCACTGGTACCATCACATCACCGTCCTGCTGTATTCGTGGTTCAGCTACACGCAATACACCTCCAGCGCGCGCTGGTTTATTGTAATGAATTACTGCGTGCATTCGGTGATGTACTCGTATTATGCACTGCGCGCGATGGGTTACAGCCCACCGCGGCAATTCGCCATGGTGATTACCTCACTGCAGCTGCTGCAGATGGTCGTCGGCTGCGCGGTGAATCTATGGGCGCGTCAACTCCTGCAGGCCGGCACTGAATGCCACGTGTCGGACATCAATGTGAAGCTGTCAATCGCGATGTACTTCAGCTACTTCGTGCTCTTCGCACGCTTCTTCTACAAAGCATACTTCTCCGGTGATCGAAGGAAGAAGGCCAAGAATGCGCCGGTGACAGCCGAATATCCGCTGCTCAAGTCAAAGGCGCAATAAATGCCCACGCATTTATAATCGAATCGATTGCAAGCAATTTTGTGATTACGATGCATTTCGGTTTGCTCGGCGGGATACGCGAATAATCGGCTGGTAACGACCCGCTGTTGTTGTAGTCAGGCAAACACTAATCTATTATTTATAAACTAGGAGGTAAACGGACACGCGGACGAAACAAACAAGACACAACAGACACACATTTCTTGGGTGATGGAAAGTTACCGCATTGCAAACGTTGTTACTAGAGCGCGTTCGTAATATTTTAAGAGTTACTCTAGCTGTAATCTGAAATATCATTAAACTACTACTAAAAATTAAGTACTAGGTACAAAAAAACCAAACACAAACTCACTCACTTTGAATTCATTTCATTCGAGAATTGAAATTCCAGTGTGATTGGAAAAGGAGCCGTGCGTTTAATTGAAAGTCAACGCGTTAATGCGTTCAATATGTAGGTTGTAAGTGAAATGAGCGGCAGGAAACGCAAAACAGCAAGAGAAACAACCTTCAAAACCATTCAATTTTGAGAGCCGGGAATGTACATTTCTGAACTTGAACTTCAACTTGATTCACAGTTATTTCAATAACTATTATTAACACACAAGAAGAAGCTCATCTTGTCACAACAAGTTGTAGAAGGTTACTTAGTCAGTTAGCTCAATGTAAAACCGAGAAATATTGGTATAAGTGTAATAAGTGTGTTGATTAATGAGTTTAATTTAATAATTTCGAAAAGAAAGTGTTTTTTTGCGAGAAGGTTGTGTTACACTTATACCGAGAAATAATTTTTAAGTAAAATTGTAAAGTGGAACATTCCTACAAATACACTATCTGCAACACACATTTTCACGACACGATTTGTCAAGTGTACAATTTGCATAGGGTAATAATTGATTTTTGACTCGAGACAACAAACTAGGAGAAATTGCGAGTCAACAAAAGTATCTGTCAAACAGATCATGTACTAAATATGTAGTGAAACTAAATGCAGAAATGTGTGGCTTGAAATATGCATTTTTTTAAAGTAATACGATGATGATGTGTACCTAAGTACGAGTAATGTGGGGATTACAATATTGTGATGTATTAATTTTTATTTAATATAAATTTTGAATTATGTTTTCGTTACGTTTGAGTTTTGTTTTTCTGTTTCTTTCATTCTCATCATCCATTGATTTACCTTTTTAATTAAGTTGATTGCTTATTGTTTTGCATGTGCACGTGTTTAACATTAACATCTAGAACAAATAGTGATGTTTTATTTCATTTCGTTTCGTGGCTGATTGATTGAAATTTATTATTGCATCGCAAAAAACTGAAACAAACCGGACGTCCTGTTCGTACGTTTTCAATTACACACTTGGAAGCGCGTGCAAGCTGCACTCGCCTATTAAACCGCCAGCCTAGTTTCGCTGGGATTTGTACAGCTGAGGCGTCTGTTTTCATTTGCAATATTAATAACCGCTGTGCGTACAACCGCAGCATTAGGAACGCCAACATGGCGGCGACGTTGATCATTATTTCAACAAGTTCAATTCCCGACAGTCACGGCCAGTGAAGGGTGAAGCCCTCGGTAAAAGTTTACTCGTTACGTACCTTTAATTGTCAAGTTGTTGATATTATCATGGGTTACGACACTGTATGATTGCGTATTCATGTTGCAACTCTTCATTGTGAGGATGTCAACTTGTGACATTTCGTGGTTATGCGCAACTGGTTGCCTACATTAATTTTTTTGCTGCCACGATGTCCAATTGTAATTTGTGGTTATTAAAACAAAGTTTCCCGCAATTAATTGTAATTAGTATCAGTATTTGACGCTGTTAATATGCCACTAGACGCATAATTAAGAAATTAATACTTAATAACGTTTTAGTTATACCATTGTTACCAATTGTTACATAAAATTAAACGTAAAATCAGCCAACAGAAACAAGAAAAAATTGTTTGAGCGCTTTCCACGCGATACACAAAATTTCATTAAGAAATTCAAGTATGTAAATTAATTCGCATATTTACGATAATTCAACTAATGAATTACTCTAGTATAGGATATAAATACAGTAAAAACAGTAATGACAGATGTATTTTACTAACTAACTATTGAAGATTTTCCTTAAGAAAAATTCGCGTACGAGCAGATTGCAAACGTCTAAACAAACTCGTAATCGTATTAAGCAAATGATGAAATAGCTATATTTTAATTACGTATTGCATAATTGCATCAACTATAATATACAAATTCGCCCCGAGATGTAAACAAATTGTAACAGTGACTAATAAAAAAAACATTAATAATTACGCAATTCGCAGAACAATTGTTACTTCATTAATATTTTAAACAGCAATGTCAAGTCAGAATATCAATTAAACCGAAAGTGATTACAGCTGAGCGTCGAAACAAGAGCACAACTTATTCAGGTAAGTGGCAAAACTTACTTATCGAACATATCTCGAGAGGTGTATAATTATTAAATACTCCATTAAAATTTTACGAATGTCTGACTATGCTATTACTCACTTTATCTGATTTAAAATGTTTGATTAACGTGGGTAAATATTTGACATGGTAGACACATGAAGGTCACGTTGTTGCTCTTGACAAGTGACACCCGTACTATAACCTCAAATAAAGTGAAGGGTGGCAGAGCGCACACGTTGCAAACGATAAAATTACAATTAATGAAACAAAGTAAGTAAGAATGACTTTAAAATATCGCATCGGTTATTACATAATGTTAAACATAATATTACTCAACAGTTATCATAAGAAAACACAAGATAACACCACATAACCTATCATTTTTACCCCGTTTATCGCAGATAATGTGTATATTGTAGTATATAGTCTACAGAAACACACAATGTGAAGGTCATGAATAAATAAACCCGTAGAATTTCGATTCGACTTGGAAATGAATGTCAATGTGATATTTCCCCAGTGTAAATATCACAGTTGAGCATATCCTAACCTTACTTAACCTGAATTTATGAAAGAAACAAAAATAACGCAATGCAATTAGCGCGTGCGCAATTTTCTTGTCAGTCTCTCTTCATTCCGTGGCATTTCAATAATCGATTTCCTCTCATAAGTTATTCATCGCCAACTAATTTGTAACCGCCCGCTTCCCACAAGCGAACGCGCTCAATATCGATCAGTTCGCACGCTAAAATAGCCCAATACGCGTTATCTGCCCATTATAATCGACAATGAAGCAACCGAAAAACAATAACAAAACTTATGCATGCATAAACAAAAAATTTACAATTCACGTTGCAATCGGTCAATTTTTGCGCCTCGTTACCACACAATAAAACGTTTTACGAAGTTGGTAACCGGTTACAAAATGGTCCGTAGGAAAAGTCGAAAAAAAGGTAGTCGATGTGTAATTATGTCAAATGATTGAAGTTTATTGTTTTGTTGTTCCGCGTTGCCGACCCCAGTTGAACTATTGTTGCGAAGAATACATCGGATGATTAAATTAGTATTCATGTATGATAAATTGCAAATCATGCGACTGATAATAACAAAAAATGAGTTTTTATTTGAATTTTGTTGCATTTCAAATGAAATGCGTCAAAATTTGATAGTGAACCAATTGGCAACAGGTTTATTTGCGTAAAACACATTATTTTACACCTATTTTTAAAACAACTTTATTTATTTTATAATTATTGCCGAAATTAGTATGCGGCTGATATAATTTTGCAGTTGGAAACAATATTTGTATAATATTTCCTGAAATATATCGCTAATCGCACAAAGGGTACAAATATAGCACTCTAATTTATCTTAATCCTGGTGACGAAGATGTGTAGGTAAAAGCTTGCGTGCCTCACCTTAATAGTAATTAATTAATTAATTATACAAAAACCAATTAACTGATATTAATGATTTCCTAGAAATCTACGCAGAATTGGATTATATAACAATTTTTTTCTCTATTTCTATCAATATAAATTTAAAATTTATTTTGTTATGTTATTTTATATTATGATAATCTTCATTAATAATTTTTTATGTTTGTTTGTGACACTGCTACGCGAAAACCACTCAACGAATTTTTATAAATTTTGGTATAGAGATACTTTAGACCCCGGAGAATAACATAGGCTACTTTTTGTCGCTAAGATAAAACTTGAAGGTTGTGTAAAATAGTTCGCAGGTTTATGCAACAAAAAAGATAAATAATAATTTTTTTTAATAATTTTTTGTTTTGATAAAGATATATTTTCATATATCCATGATTTTTTTTTAATTTTGCATTTATTTCAGTATTACAATATTTTAAAAGCTTGGATTTAATAAATCCAGAAAAAAAATCAAAAATTTAATTTTTTTGTAAGTTTGTGTAAATTTTAAGTTTAGATGTAAACGATTCAAACGAAAAAAACCAAGATGCCCGTAATGTAGCTAATTTTAACCAAATTAAAATAAACTAATGCATATTAAAGTTGATGATCCAAGTCAACCAATAAAAAAATGAATTAAATGAGCTCAAAACCGCGGATAAAAACTAATTATTATTATTTTACTGATTATTCTAAAAAATAAATAGTTTATACTCTGTATTAATATTAATAACTAAGTAATAAGTAAGTTACTGTGTGCTTTAGTGCTTAATAAGATAATGTACCTACGTCGGTAGTATTCTACTAGATAAGAATGGCATGTTCATGTATTCTATTATTCTATTCGAAATTTTTTCCACCTCTGTTACCACCCACAACCCGATAACCATTAAAAGAACATGCACTGCATACGTGTAATTATCGGGTTCAATGCAAACATGCGATGGCGCGATATTTTCTCGATAATAAATTGAGCGTGAACTGCAACAGTCTTAATATTTACTCGTAATTATTAATAATGCTGTCATAACTCCAGTCAACCTCGTCAACCTTTTGACATCAGATTGCACGAAACTCGGATGTTAAATTGTCGTATGTTATTTAATAACACATATTAATGTTAATATTGGTTGTGAATGGTTAGTTCGGTGAATTTTTGTTTTGTGATGCTGTAAATGTTATTGGAACTTTTGGCTGTGGGCATTAGCGTGCCAAAGATCGAATGGATCGAACGTGATCGTACGAAAAAACATACGAGCATGGCTGGCCAACGAACACTCGCGCTTCGCATCATTCGCATGGCCCGTGAAAGATTTCAAGTGGGTCGATCCGATCGGCAAATGTTCTCGGCACGCAAATTGCAACGTTTTACTACATACTTTCGATTGTCGATCGTCTCAAGGGTCGTCGGAAGTTTTTTTAAATTTTGTTATATTAGTTGCATTGCATTTAATGATACCTAACGGAATGTTTTGTTATCGCGCATGACACGACTGGATCAGATATGTGTTGTACGTCTGGAATATCTGGATATATTCGGTGTACTCGTACAAAGCGTATTATCAACTGATATCGCGATGTGTGATGATGGTAGACTTACCTGGGTTATTACATCATTTGCTGCGTTCACTGAGTCACATTTGCACTAACATGATTGGTTTCACGCGTAGTATCAGTTGCTATTCGCTGTATTCGTCGTATTGTTGTTTTATGCACCACGCGAAGATAAGCGCGTTTGTCATGAATGCCGTGCAGTTCAGTCATGCGCATTTTGTTGGTTAGGTTGGTAAACATGCAACGTGCGCAAATTTTGAAATAACATTTGAATTATTAGTAAAAGTATGCAACCCATATTACTTAGCCGTTAGAATTAATTATTATAGAAATCGTGATTGAAATATTTGCGTAATATATATGCCGAAGTACATCGTACAAGACGAATAAACACTTCAATGTATATAAATTTCGAAGGTTATGTCAGTAAATACTCATTATACTCAAAACTTTTAGGTTATACATAAATATCCCCAATAAGAGATTGTAATTTCTTTGGAAATAATGAAAATGAATTTCTTAGAACTTTAGAAGCAAATATTAAATATTAAATTATCGAATATAATTTTATAACTTTCAAATATTTATTGAAGAAACCTGTGTGTCGGGAATAGTCTGTTGGTGACGCGCACCAAGAACGTTTAATATTTATTGAGGAAAAACCATATAAGTATGCAAACAATGTCACATCGCAATAAATGTTCTTATGCTCGCCTAGATAATTATGCATACATTAACACGTTAATCAACTCTCCAGTGTCGCCGATGATTAGTTATTAAATATCGCGTGTGTTATTTAGTTTTCTATCTAACAGACAATAACTAATAATTGTTTGTTTTATTTCTTGATATTATTCAGTGAATAATCATTGTAATTAAGTTTAAATAAAACAAAAACACTTTAATTACTCGAATAGTTATCCCGCATAAAAATAGAACCTGGATGGTTAATAATAAAAAGTTGTTGATGTAAATCTGGACGTAAAAAGCGTTTCGATGTTAAATAATCAGCAATTACAATTAAAAAAAAGTCCATTGCGCAAATTTACTAGAGAATTTCAAGTTACTACTAATTATATAATCGATCCTACATGTGTTTATTGAAATAATTAACAGTTTGTAAATATTATGTGAATGTAAGGTGTTTTTTCATGTACAAGTTCAGGGTGTAGTTTATAACGCCAATTATATAACTAATTCAAGGAGATTGAAATGTGTTATCACTCGTTATAACTCGTGGCTTGTTAAATCTTAGTAACAATTAAGAAGCAATTTGTGTTTTGTTGAAAAAAAATATATACATCCGCGGTGAGGAGAGACTAATGTGGAGAAAAACTAAAAACAACCCGATAAAAGAGGTGGGGGAACTGTTGGACGACTCAGACACGACTGAGCGCGGGTCGCACTGCGCGCTGCCCTTTTGTACCTGCGGCCGATCTGCGAAAAGTGGTGGGGGAAGTCTTGCGTGATACGCATAATGTTGCCATTAGCAGAACTGCGTATCCCCCCACCACTTTACGCGGATCGGCCGCAGGTATAAAAGGGCTGCGCGCAGCGGCCAAGCTCCTCAAGCGTGCCTGAGTCGTCCAGCAGTCCAGTCGCTGCTCTCCAGGTCCTTCTCTCCCCTCTCTCCCTCTCTTCTTTCTTCTATTTGGGTCGTGCTTCCGCTAGACTCCAACACATTGTGTTTTATTTTTATTCCTCCTAATCTGTCGAGCTTTATCTCAACTAATACTCCACCATGCAATTACATTTATGGTAATTTGTTTATATTTCCATAGATAATGGCACTGTTGATACCACATTTGTGAAACCCTGATTATATTATAAATCACAGCATAATTTTCCAGCCAACAAAAAATAAATTTGAATAAAATTGCAGCAATTTTATATATTGTGACATGTTTGCGGACTTCGTTAAATTTGCTCGAACTTTGCACAGGAATTCAATGATTATTCTCGCGCGAATGTGTAAACCCACACAAAAACGTGGTAATCATCAAATCATCATAGACAGTAATGACTTTTATTTCCATCTCCGCAGCAGCTCAACTTCAGTTTCAATTTCCATTAATAGATCTCCTCTCGGAGACCTCAATTGAGGAATCCTTGAAATAAAAAAACGCCAAGCAGCAGCAGCGCGCGCCGTAAACACAACAAAACGAAATTATAAAGTAATAAAACGTGAAGCGACGTCGCTTTTGTTACGACTCGTTTGCGAAAGCAATAACAATGCGACATTTCACCTCTCGTGGACATCAACAAATAACCAAATAAAAAGAAGTTGAAGAAACACATGAGGCATAGAGTATAAACAAATTAATAAACAAAAAACGCAACAAAACAATCCACACACAAAAAAAAAACAAGAATAGTATAGTATTGTGATTGCGTCGTTCTTGTAAATATTGGCCGTTTACTTTCTTGTCGTTCATGCGGAATATCCGGAATAAATTAAATCGAATTGAGAATGAGTGTTGCTTGCTTGACGCGATGACCAACTCGTCCACATTTCGACCACTTGTGCGCGGCGCAGACATTCAAAAGGCGATGAAACTTCCGTCGTAACACTCACAACGCGAGAGACATGAAAGCACTTTCTAAAATTATGTGTACCATAAAAACACGCTGCCAAAAAATAAACAAACTGCGGCTTCAAACGCACGCGCATTTATTAAAAACAATTACCGCGCAGCCGAAAACAAGAACAGAAAGTTAATTAAATAATATTTGAACATTATCTGCGCGTATCTACGAAACTAATTAGATAAAAATAACAAATTGTTGGTGATTGCAATTGGTCTTCATTAAATATTACACAACAAATTACGAAAATTGAGAAATAAAACGTTAAATTATAGGAAGTCTACGTTTTCTCCACAAAATTCTCAATTCTACAAAATATATTTTTGTAAAATGAAATAACATCAGGTAACACTTGAAGAATTGAAGAGAAAAAATGATGTGGTACTGAGAATACTTGTTTAATTCCCTTAAATTTCTTTTTTGTTGTCAATGCAAGCGCATTGCAAATCTTAAACAATGAAAGAAACTAAGCCGGCTAGAATTCCGAGATAAATACATATACATATTTAAACACCTAACAAAAATGCTTTCCGCTTTGCAATCTTTGACGAAAAAAAACTTGTACTCTTTGAATATATGCATAATGTGTATAACAACGCTATAAAGTTTTATATCCAGTGTCAACGCTCAACATTCCCTGACCAAACACCTAGAAACGTCGCTTACTTTACAATAAAAATTAAGTTGTACTAAAATATGTATAGATCATAACCTTCCGTCCTTCCATGCGCAATCATCACCTCCCTTAGTAATTCATTTTGTTACCAAAAGAGCTATACAAGCAAATAACAAAGAAATATTCATTTGTTTGTCTGCAGTTTGATTAAAATTGTTACCTACGCTCGCGTGGCGATTACCTGTCCCATAAGCAAATCTCCTTCATTTTTGTCTGGAAGTACTGCTGTAGTTTAACAGCGCATTGGTAGTACTCCGTTTCGGGTAAGTTGTACGTAGTGCAGTTGGTGAAAATTCGCATCATGTCAGCGATAAACAATCGTCGAGATACGTAATAACGGGCTTTCAGTCGTTCGGACATCGTCTTTAAATCTTTAAAAACAAAAAATAACTTATTAAATAAAATACAAGGTTTAGAAATGTTTTGCTTACCCATAGGATACTTAATCAAGTCATAATAATCCGGCACAGTGACTTTATTAACCGGAAGTTTAAACGGCCACGCATAATGATTATTTTTCACCGCATTCAGCACGGTTTTCAACATTCCAGAAAGTGTTTCAATGTCATGCATTTCTTTCTCACCGCCGTCAGCTCCGCCTCCTCCTCCACCTCTAGTTGGTCGAATAGATGGCCTCCAGCCTGTTTCCTCTATGCCAGGAATAGACCCAATCGGAATACTACCGACGCCATCTTTGAAAAATGTCAAACCCGGGTATACCTTCGAAATCATACACTGTTTCTGATGTATGAGTTGTTTGATTATATTCTTTTGTTTACGCACAACTGCCGCTGTTTGCGTGTAGATAATCTTCGGATTGAGCTCACAATGCATGAGAGTTGCGCCTTCGTATAGTTTAATGTAACCCTGGTACATCCACTTAGGCAACTTGATATCCTTCGAAAATCCCTGCTTCTCGAAGTAACCAAGCGCGAATTTATCAGCGTACGTGAGGAAATGATAGATATTGTTTCGTATATGATAATCTTTGAGATGATTCATTAAATGGGAACCATAACCTTGAACTTGCAGCTCAACCAGCACAGCGCAGAAAACAATCTCTGTGAAGCCCTGTGAGCGGAACATTCGAAAAGTAATACCACCGATAGGTTGTTTATCTTTGATCAACGCGAGAGTGCGATGTTTCGGGTCGAAGATAAACTGTGTTATGTATTCTTTGGGCATAAAAGGCAGCTGTTGTGAGATGACATTCTGAAGACCAATCAACCAGAGCATCGTTTGTTTAGAGACTGGTTCAGTGAGACTGTTGCCAACAATGTGCACCTCAATGATTTTGAGTTTTTCCTGTCTTTTTACGATTTCATCTCGTGGTGGAATATCTTCAGCAAATATCTGCACAGAAATAATTTTATTATTATTAAATATTGAATAATAAAGTAAAAAAACTTACATCAGGTCCTGTCATTAGTTTTGGATCAGTAATATTCTGAATAACTTCAGCTAAAGTCTCCGATGGAATGTCATCGTCTTCTTCGACGGCTTTTCGTCGTTTTTCTCGCGATGGTGAACCTGTGGCGTGCACATTATTCGATGTACTTTCATTGCGACTCTCCATTTCTGATGCACGTTTTGCTGCAGCCGCAGATTCTTTAATAAAATTTTGAAAAAACATTAAACTTGTTAAAGTTATTAAAAGATGGTGAATGTCATACTTCTCAGTTTATTATTTTCTATCATCGCTTGCAGATGAATTGATGGCGGCGCTTTAAATTCCGGATCCCAAACTGGAGATGATTCCGCATAAACTTCTTGTTCTAATGTACTGAGAAACATTGGAAAGTGCATGAGAATCATTTGTCTTCGCTCGGCTGGCATACGATCGCGCTCCTGATGGAACTGATCCATAATTTGTTTCTGCACGTATTTGAACACGGCGCGTAGCAGTGTCTTGCCGAAAACCATGGTTGTGTCATAATGACGCAGCGTATCACAAAAGGCGGGCACATGGCAAAACACAAACCATCTAAATTCATACATAAAATGATTAATTTTTTGGAAGTTTTAACATAGAAATGATTAAATATTAATTGTTATATTACCTAGTATAATTAATTTTATAAACTTGATCCTCTTCCTGACTACTAAAATTCTTCTGTTTGCTAGTTGAAGGCAGGTCCCAAGTGTTCATAAAGTGCAGGAATATTTTCGCCAACTCGTGCATCGTGTTCCACTCCTGCTGCGTCAAGTGCGCAAATTTGAACATCACCAGATTTGTGACTGCCTTGTGTATGGAAGGCTTCTCAAACGGCGGCAGCCCCAATGGTCCTTCTATCACAGGTGTGCCTAATGTTAAGATACATTTTCTCAACAACTAAAATGCAAAAACATTCATTTCCATACACGTTCTATAAAATTTTATAAAATCACCTTAATTAAATAACTATAAACTCTTGATGTGTCAGGTGAAGCCTCCTGATTCATAGCAGTATGCAAATTCTCCACATCGACAATCATCCTCAACAATCGATTTAAATCCTGCTCACTCTTACTTCGCAAATGTTGCACATGCATGTCCATTGAGTGTTCACATTTGCATGGATCAGTGAACTGTGGGTTCACATTAGTTGGATCTGTTCTCTTCCAGCCTATACATGGGCACTGCTCAGTCTAGAAATTAAATACAAAAACAGTTCAATTTTACAACCAAACTTCATAGGTTTATTAAATCTAACCTGGCACTTGGAATAAATTGAGAGTTTCTGCAGCTTCTTGGTGTATGGAAATGCCAGCACAGTTTGTTTCATGTGTTTAATTGTCTGCAGGTTTGATTGGTATGTAGCTGATTCAGGTTTTTGTGTGGTGTTTGCAGTTGCAGTTCCAGGTGTGACTTGTGTGCCCTGTGCCACTTGCTGCTGCACCTGATTCGGTGTTTGCGCTTGCGGCGCTTCATTCTTCACTTCTGTTGCGGTTTCGTTGGAATATGACTGTTGGGACTGCTCGGACATTCTAACAATTGTACTGTTTGCTTTTCGGTGGCCTTTTGGTTAGTCGTGCCGGATGTTTTTGTTGTGTTTGGAAAGTCTATCGGCATTGTTTTGATTTTGGCGACATCTGTAATCTATTCCAACATGGCCACCGGCATATTTTTTTAAAACTTAACTTTTTCTTTTAAAATTATTAATATATTAATAGTTATAATAATATTTTATATTAAATTAGACTTATACTTATAAATTATTTGTAATTTGTAGGATAATTATTGAGATATTTAGTTTAATTTTGTTAAAAACGACCGCTAGGGTGCGCATAAACTGTTTAACAACAGAAAAATGTAAAATAACGTCAAATTTACAAAATTTATAAACTCCACCAAATAAATTCAATATGGCTCCACCTTTTGTTGTAAGTATCTTATGTTTCTTCACATCTTATAAATAATTATACTCATTTTGTGATGCAGTTGGAACCTTACATACCGCCATTTAAAAAACGCATAGGTCATACAATTCACACGAAAAACTCTTACGATACAAGAGTAAAAATGGAGAATTGGCAATACAAAGTCGAACCAGAAGCAACCAAACGAAAAGAATGCATACGCGATGATTACATAACATCTTATAAAACAATGACGGATCAATTATGTGAAAAGAATACCTATGACGATAATATACAACACAAGCCCATTTTCAATTATTTTGGCTACAAAGACGAAAAAATAACCGCTGAAAACTTCCATTCACGTCGAGATTTCCCAACAATCATGAAAAACGACCACAATATGATCCCGCAGTTTATCACAACCATGCAATCAAGTTATTCATCGCCATTGGGAATGGTTATGCAGAGAGTAAGCCACTTAATATAAAATAAAAAGAGTACTATTGCATTTCTTTCAGTTGAGATCACCTGAAGAAAGATTCATGTTGTACAGACGCATGAAAAGCATAGAAAACTCCAGAATCAACACAAAGTTCCGTGATGATCGCATTGACGAAGTGAATAAAATCCTGCGCTGCGCTAAACAAGGAAAAATCGGAATATCATACAATCCGATGACTGGAATGAACACAGATGGTTCCATTCCGAAAACAATGACTTTCATGGAGAATAATCACGCAATGCGACAGAAACAAAACTAATATCTATGAGAATGACCCAACAATTGTCTAGAAATACAAATGTTTCGTATAATTAAAGTCATCAGAATTAAAGCCATAAATACAATTATAATAAACGATAGAAATGTTAAGAAATCAATCGATTGGAACACTCACTAGAGAGTGAAATTAAATAGCGATAAACTAACGTTATACAATTTTGTTTCATCATAAATGGTTGAGCTTAATTTTACAATTTTTACGTTTCAGTAGCGTTCATTTTTACCTAAACATTATTTTATAAGTAGATACGTAATTTTTTTTTGTGTTTTGCATTCATCCGAAAGAGCTACTGATTTCTTTACACAATTTTTACATAGACTAAACTTTAATTTTATCTCCATTTTAATCCCCAAAAGTTTCTAATAGCAGCATTATAGATTTTCACATCTAAGACGATTATTATAATCAAGACATAAATGAAAAACAACATCATACGAATAGTTGATAACCGAAAAACGTAATAAATAATAATAAGTAATAAGAATATAATAATAATAATAATAATAGTATGTGATAACTTATAACAGTTAAAGAAAATAATTAAATTGCTATGTTTCTTCATTGTCAAGAGTTTCGGTAACAAATTCTGCCTGCGTGTGCACTGCTGTGTAACGAGAACACAAACAAGAAGTATTTTTCAACAAACAACCTTTGTATCTATAATATTAACAACAAATAACTTCTTTGTTTGTGTCACTTGTTCGATTTGACGATCGACTGAATTGTGCCGTTATTATTCGATATTATTGTAAAAAATCTGCTTGAAATGTAGAAAATATTCCAGTTTCGTGCGTGTTTGTCAACTTATTCCCGTTATTGTGATTACGACTATATGTATTTTGTTATCGCTACGACATTTGTATCTTTTGTTTGTTTTGTGAGAAGGCAATCGGTATAACATCGAAATCAAACGTTTCTCGTAAAACTGATACAAAAATCATGAGCACTTCTTTCCAAGTCGCAACTGGGGATACAACGATTTCCCTAATAACAATAACCAGTTGGACTTGAAGTATTGCGCCTACCAGAACAGAAGCAAGCCCTGCCCGCTGATAAATACATACATGATAATGACTATACGTTTGCTTACATGCGTATTTTTTGCTTTCGCAGTAGATTTTCGGTGCGAATGAGTAATTTTTCCATTTTATCATTTTGTTTTTTAAGAAAATATTAATCATATGGTGTAAGAATTAATGATCTTGTACATTATGATACAACTTTTACACCACGACTGATTTTTTTTGCTTTATCTTTATCGTTTTATAGACATTTACATTACTATTCGATTCGATACACTAGTAAAAATTCAAGATAAAAATATATCTGCAGCTATTTGATCCATCCAAAGATGCGTAAGGTCTGGGATGACAAAACAGTGACATCCCAACAAGACCCAACCATCTTAACAATAGATACAAGTTAATAAAACTTTCATATGCATCTGTGACGTTCGAAAAATTGAAAACAATTTTTAGTCCACGAAAGTTTTGTAAATGTTAAGTATAACGTGAAAGTGAAGATTGAAGAGGCTACGAGTCCGCCCTACATCTTACAATATCTCTGCTAATATCGTAACTTTGCGTACTTTATGCGTATGTATAATAAAATGCGCCATATTTGCATTGAATAATAATGTATAGTAAAAATATTCAGTCTATATTTCATTTAATCATTTTTTTTCCATCATTTTATCCTCATTTATCTCCGTTACTCACCAATGATACCTTTAATATAGAATTAATACGCGCGCACATATATTCTTCGATTAATTATTTATCATAAATTCGAAATCAAAGATTTTGGTAACCAATAACGCGTAACTGAATGCCCACGAAAACAAAACACGATAAATATGCTTAACAAACAAAAGTGATTATAAATTGTCCAAAGAGATAGAAAACTAGTATGAATACCTAAAGGAATACAAAGACCGAAACGGTTATAATAGCCGAAAGATGTACACCGAAATATCCTGCATTCTCTGCTTCGCCGCGATTGGCAAAAACACAAAACTACCATTATCGAAATATGTTTTGCTACAAACTACTACGTATTTTTGGTTTTTTAGATTTTTATCCATGCAATTAGACATGCACGTTTTTGTATTACTTTTGAATTTTTTCTCTCCGTTTACACACGTTAATTGTATTTGAAATCAAATAGATGATCATAATTTATAAGTTAATTTCTTTTCATTTTTTTGATAATTCTCGCAATTGCTCGCAAAACTGAAACATTTTTGGTCACCATAGGCAACTGGGGTTTAAGCTCTTTTCATTTTGTCACTTGTTAACGTTTCAACGATTTTTCACTTTGAAATTATCTGCGAATCGAAGGAAGTTTTTCGTTTTTATGTTTAAAATGTACCCTCGTTATTTCCTGGTTCCGCAAAAACGACCTTTATTGCAGAATAACTCAAAGTCACACGAAAATCATCCACACACACACACCAAGTTTATTTCTGTGTGTGCGTAGACGATTTTCGCGCATACTGTCTGTGTCTCTAATATTATCACAGACAAACAAACGCAATGAGCGCAACTTTGTAACATTTTGCATTACAAAGCAAAATATTTTGATATCATTTTACTTATTACTGTTCCTTATGTGTTTGAACTAAGTGTTTTTGTAAAGTGTTTACCAATTAAAAATTGTCATTTGGTTAAATTGACAGTATTCGTGATTCCTAATTATGTTTAATGAAATCAGAGTGAATCATAAGACGTGCTCGAGTCAGCATTTTCAATGGAAGCGCTTGCGCTTGTTGCGGAGTGCCGTTTTCGACTTGCCGGGCCGCTTGCGTTTATTCTTACCACCGCTCTTCTTCTCGCCGAAATCGGTCACCTCATCACCGAGGCTACCCAGCGTGGTGAGTTTACCACGTGTGTGTTTATCCTTCTTATCGGCGGGCAATCTGGTGAGGTACTCCTCTTCGTATCGCTGGCGTTCCTGGGCCGCCTTGGACACCTTCTGCTGAGCGCGTGAACCCTGATTGACCTCCATTGGTGTGTCCAGGTACTCCTCGCGCAGTTCATCCATCAACGCTGATGAAATCGCTGCCTTTTTGGTTCTATCCTGCATGCGCTTGGTACGTTCTTGCGCAGTTTCATCACCTAACATAAAAAAAAATCATTTTTAGGTTAAATTTAAGTTAAAATTGATCCCAAATAGGTTTTATAATAAAATTTCTTACCTGTATAATGTACAGCTGACAATTTTGGAGGCACATATACACCAGAACTCTTCCCAGTTTTAGTTTCACCTTCACTCTCCTCTTCTGAGCCCTCTTCCTCACTATTTTCCAGCATATTATCTGGATTTGCCTTGTACATACTGGGATCATTTGCATTGCTACCACTTACAGCTGTCTTCACCAGTTTGTCAATCTGATACTTCAGCTTGTGATCAATCGGCCGGATTTTCTCCAATACTGTCCTGATCTCAACCAGCCTATCAATGCATGGATCACCTTCAATGCTCTCTCCTGAGCACTTCCTCAGCACCACAAATGTTAAATTAATAAGATACCCAAGCAGCATGTTGTACTTCATCTCAAGAAAGCTAAGTCCCTGGTCAGTGCTGATTTCACCCTTCCTCACCTTCACCAGCATGTTGTCCACCAGACCAGCAACGTGCTGTGCGCTCACGTTCATCTCGCCGAGCAGCACCAACGCTTGCGGCAAGTCTTTGTGCCCCATTTCAATGTCCGGTGCCTAAAACGATCACAACAAAGCATTAGCGGCGGGTTTTGATTCATGAAAACTCTCCGAAAAACTCGTCCGCACTCAAAAGATGAATTAATTTTTGTGTTTTATAGTAATTTTATCGTTGTTTACGCGCGTTGAGGTTATTACAACGTTTTAAGAAAAAAATTCGGCCGTCACGACCGACGCGACGAGATTGATTTGCATAAAAATCTGTTCGCCATCTTTCCTCCCCTTGCGTGCGCTCCGGGAGCGGCGTGCGAAAAAACGCGACTTTTTCGGACGGCGGTGCAGCGTGTTTGCGGCGACACGAGGTTTCGCTAAGGTTATAAGCACGACGATACTCACTTGTACCATGTTCGTGAGGTCGTTTTCTTGAGTTACGAAGACATTGGATCGCCTCTTGGAGTTGTTAAATGCTGTCCGGGCAATCACGGCACGTGCAGCACTTTTTGATTGTAAGGCCTTTTTTCATTCTCTTCCGCCGTGCGCTGTGTGCTTCTCGCTCGGCGTAAAGGCACGCGTGTTTGCCATCCTCGTCAGACGCACGCGCACGCTGCTCGTTCGTACGCCGCGGCGGCGATCGGAAAAATTCGTGCATTGATGTGACGCATGATTGTGGGAAAAAATTCTAAAATGGCGGCGCATTCAAAAACATTCACAAATAAACAGCGATAACTACTTAAATAAACAATGATAATCTTCTGTTTCACGTTAATTACACGATATTAAGTTATGTTAATAAATAGGTAGTAATATATATTACAAAACAAACAAAATAAATCGCTAAAAGTAATTTTTGTGTTGTCATTTCAATATGTGTAATGATTCATAGTACGCAGTAATATTTCATAAGATAAGTTGTGATTTAATTGTACAATGTGCAGATGATAATTAAGACTCGAATATTAAATAAAAAATGTTTTGTCTAATATTTGTTTACGTTCATCTAGCGCCTCTTCTGGCAGATTCGCAAAGCGCAAGCTAATCTAATCATACTTCTCGCTTGTTTTGTTTTGTGCAGTTTTGTATTGGCTCGCTAGTGGAGAACACGCATTTCCAACCACGATTCATGACAACCGCAACAGCAAGCAGCATAGAGCAGCGCAGCCGGGTCCCCACAGTCTCGCCTTCGTCGGTCGATCGGTGTAAAAATAAATGACTGCTTCGTAACGCGTGACGTGCGTGCGCTCCCGCATTCGTTTCCCAATCGGCGAGCGGCAACCGTCCCAAATTTCAGCTCTCGTGATATTATCCTGGTGCAGCGTCGCGTAGTGTCCGTTGGTTTGGTGCGTTCGGATCGTTGGTTTGTCGCTTCAATGCTCGTGAAGATGTGGCCCGCCGTCGGTCTTCCGGCACCGCCGCAAAGCCGCCTCTCCGCGCAGACTTTCAGTGCGAAACGGAAAAATTCCGCATGGACTATTTCCACATACACCGCCAACCTATGACATAACACGTACGGCTTTCGCTAACACATTCTTACAGCAACAATTTACATACATTCAAGAATAAATAAAATACAACCAACACACAATCACAGTTGAAAAAAAGTAACTAACAAAATTCAATACGAAACAAACACAAATTACAACCTGGTGACTCGCGATTGTAATAAAATATTTTAAATAAATGGCAAATTCTTTGAAGCGCAATCGATCGCGTCGCAGAATCGCCGCAATCACGTTCCTGTCGAATATCTCACTCGACGGCAGCTATCGCGATACGAGACTTTGTCTTCTTCCGCGGAATGGAGCCATCAACAAAACCGATGTTTCCGCTCTGGGTGCCGACCTCAAGTGTAAACAGGAGCCGGTGCATGAAGAATCCGACGAGCCGGACGATTGTTTCAGTGATTCCGAGCACGTCGTCAACCGGCGTGTCGAAACAAATCGTCTTGTGACATGCAAAAATGTCGACACACACTCATTGAGCTCCGACTCGGAAAGTGTGCAGACTCCAAGCAAAACTCTCGATGATGGTAAACCGTTTCGAGAACGCAGCGGCACAGCTACTTCAGGCAGTGACCTAGTCGAAGGCGCGCGGAAAATCCCCAACAAATTGAAGAAACGCTTCGCGTATCAGAACTCCATCAGCAGTGATTATGAAAAACATCATTATGGAAGCAGTTCGGAGAGTATCGGACCCATTGGCAGTAAATATAACAATAAAATTAGTAAATATTCATTTAAAACATGATTTTCTGTTAAAGTTCGGAGTAAAATGAGCCCGGCACCGCCGAGCATCCCCGAAACATTGAAGAACGAAGTGCGTTTCATTAAACCCAACAAGAATATGAAACTCAAGGACGAGCGGATTGTCATGGTGTCGAATAAACACACGCCGTTTATGATCTGTTCGTTGATTCCGTACACGCGACCAAGGAGTGGACGGCAGGAGTTCAGGCGAGATGGAAACCGGAAGCGGAATACTTCAGGACCGCGGCCATTGTCAGCTCTCGGCGATGGTTTGGATCCTTTTGAGTCTTTTGGTCTTGAAAAGGGTTTAGATGGACAGGTAAACTATAAAAATCTATAAAAAATAATTTTTAATGATTAATTTTAAACAGGAAATTTCCTACGGGCATTTATTGGTTCCGTCGAGATTACGACCCGGTAGTAAACCGCAAAGCGTCGATGAGCCAATGGAAGGCTCGTCAAAACGTTCGAAAACAGGCCGACATGTTGTTGCCAGGTAATATTACTACATATTTATATGCGTATAATGATTTATTCTAACCTAAAAATACGTTCAAGTGTTCACACATTGTAATTACAGTGTAAGTTGTATGAGTATCGCTCAATTTTTACAATGCACGTCAATTTCGAATGGGTTCAAGTGCTTGGCGATACTTTTACAATGACACATTTAATTTTTTTTGGCACAAGGCACTTTTCGGCACCCAATTTACTCACACCATCTCTCTCACATTTCTTTGTGTCTACTTGCGATTGAGATTGTTTGAACCAAAGTTCATTCATGATTAATAATCAACATCTGTGACTCGATAATGTAACGATCGATACTCAATGCTCATTTGTTCACTTGTCTTCTTTGCTCTTGTTTCTAGGACTAAGGTTATTACTTGGCAGCCTGATTACAAATGGTAAACGAACTCTCATTTTCCGCATTTTCTAAAGCATATCGCAGATATAATTCGTGCAATTGTAGTTATAGAATAGAATAGCATTGCAATAGAACACGGTTAATAATAGCATATGGCAATGGTGTGGTAGCTGTAGCTGAGTGTAGATTGAAAAGCGTGCGGTAAAGTAGATTGCGTCTAATTAATTTATTAACAGCAGCCGCGCAGAGTGTTGTGCAAGTCTCGTGACCAAATTGTTCGAAATACACAACGCGACAGATGTTTCACGGCGGAGATGACGGAGAAATTTAGTATTTTATATGCACTGAATGTTTGCACAAAGATTTTTCATTATCTAACGCTTACAGCTTACATACAAGGTGGTTTATAGCTGCAAAAGTTTGTTATTTTGTTTACGGAATTTACGAATTGCGCTTTATTGCTCGTAAATTTCGAAATCAATAAAATTTCCAGAACATGTGCGTTTTTCTACGCACTTTAACTTTTGCGGCTATAAATAACTTGTTTTTCTTTTGTTTTTCAATGTTGGCAGGTTGTGCATTTGACTAACTTTTATTTCAACTTTATTTCATAGCGCATGTTGAGTATATAATGCAATAGTGCACTTTAGACGTAAACATCGTAAACTCAGATAACCCTGAGTGACTTAATCCGACTTGTTGTAAGCCGCTGGATTGAACTAGACTCGAATCTAGTGAAAACCGAAAACAATTACTTTCGATTGTCTCTGGTTATCAGTCGCATTATCTAGCAATGTTATGATGTTCTAGGTGTTTCTCGTACGATCAAGGCTCGCAGCGTGCATCGGCGCATGTTGTCACGACCTCACCGCCGCCGGACTCCAAGGACGAAAACGTGCCCTCGATTTACCATCCGAATCTACTCGATGATCCTGAGCTAATCGCTGGTAAACACCGCACGCTTCTAACCTTTTCATCTTACATGACGTCTGTGATCGACTACGTGCGTCCTTCGGACTTGAAGAAGGAAATTAATGATAAATTCCGTGAGAAATTTCCGCATGTGCAACTCACGTTGAGTAAACTGCGCAGTTTGAAGCGTGAAATGCGAAAAATCGCCAAGGCAGATTGCGGAACGGATATGGTCACCGTTGCGCAAGCGTACGTGTACTTTGAGAAGCTCATCCTTCGAGGATTGATTAATAAAGAGAATCGTAAGCCTTGCGCAGCCGCGTGTCTCTTGCTGTCGGCGAAAATGAACGACAGTAAAGGCGATGGATTGAAAGCGTTGATTGAACGCATCGAAAGCGTTTTTCGCTTGAATCGAAGGGAATTGATGAACGCTGAATTCGCGGTGCTTGTGGCGCTCGAATTTGGTCTTCAGGTGCCCACCTTCGAAGTTTATCCGCACTATCAGCGGTTGATGTACGAATCTTGACCTATTGTCATCAGGGGCGCACTGGTGATGACCGTAGTCCAATTGTAACACATCTCTGTACATAATTGTCTATAATTTGATTGTTTTTTGACGATCAACGCGTTCGTTCGTTGAATTTTCAAGCGTTTGTTAAGCGTTTTGCAGCCACAGCTGCAAACTTGTTTTTGTTTTGACGTTGATTTTTATTTTTTTATCATCAGTTGAATCATTATATTAATGATGCGCTCAGACGTTGTTAATGTGAAAGCAGAAAGTGTGTAGACTGATTTTATATCAAAGTTTTGATTAGGATGTCCTTAGTATGATGAGTAGAATTGTTAGTACTTAATGTATTTGCGGATACTTACAGGCACTCGATGATACTTAGCATTTTACGTGTTACACACATTTTGTAGAGCAAGGTTACGTTTTTCATATGATCTATTGTGTGCAAATGAAAGGTGATATCATAATCTAATCTTTAAATCTTACACGTTGATTGAAATGCATGTCTAGCAGCGCTACTTTTAATACATATTAGTGCACACACCATAAGGCGATGTATTTTTATCGTGTAGATTTTTAACTCTCGCAGGATTTACGAAATACTTACTCTAGACAAAGTGAAGAAATCTGATTATATTTGTAAATGGGTGCAAACAAATGCATTGGTTTGTGAGATGGGATACTTAAGTCGGTAATAAACCTTTATCTGTTGATATGAATCATAAATAAGCACTTATCACAATTATTAATTAATTAAGATCCAATACTAACAGATTGGACAGATAAATATTTAATTTATTACGCGCTATTCTTCCTATTTATATATTATTTATTTCCTGCGTCATTCTATCACGTATTTTGTCATTATCAGCTAAATTTAGAGTAATTTTTAATTAATTTTCATGATTAATTCCTGCAAAAAAGTAATTTTGTTATGTATTGCTTGAGCATGTTTTGTAACATAAGTTGCCTACATTTTACTTTAGTAATTTACGATGGACTAATATTTATTTAATTTATTACCCATTATTCTTTCTATTTATATATTCTTTATTCTACGCGTCATAATATTCGTTATCGTGTCATTGTGAACTTAATTTAGAGAATTTTTTAATTAATTTTTATGATTAATTGCTGAAAAAAGTAATTTTGCTCTATGTATTTCTTTACTATATTCTGTATCATAAGTTGCCTATCGTTACATTCACTTCACATTTGTTTAGATAACAAAAACTTAAATTTCTACTCATCCTGGCAACCTCAACTAATGTCTGTTTTCCAAGTCAAGCAGGATTAGCAAAGCAACAACTACCTCTATCTTCCTTAAACACTGTGCAATTATAGCGTGGCTATGTATGCCTTGTTGGCCTCTCCTACCTGCGTAGCGATGCCCCGCAAAGGTAATAATCCGTGTACCGTTAACTGCTTCATGGTTAGCTCGCTTACTTCATAAGCCTCAACTTCTTCGCACGCTGAATGGATATCAACACACGACGACGTGTCCCGAAGTCGCGCAAACAGGTTTTCGACCTATTCCTAAGCTTAGTAATACGGCGAGGAATGTTGCGTGCTGATGTGGATTTAAAATCGCCAAACGCCAGCTAACAAAGTAAATAAACAAGTGAAATACAATGGAAACGAAAAGCAAAGCGAAGGAGAAATATAAACTAAATCAGTGCAAAGCGGACAACGATGAAGTTAAAAGTAAACTGACATTTGAGAAGAAATCAATTGAAGATATTAATGAAGATGCTAAACACACAAGTGCAAATAAAAATGGAATTGTTTATAGTGAAACACTCAAAATGGAAACTAAAGAATTGAAGAAGAAATATTTTCAATTACGCTTGGATGTTGACATGGTGTCAATGACTCTTTTTATTATTGCTGTTTTGACAAGAATGTACAGACTGGATGAGCCTAAAAACATTGTGTAAGTTTATACTGATTCATTTATAATTTCATTTAATTTAAAATGTTTTTCAGCTTCGATGAGCTCCATTATGGTAAATACATCTCTCTATACTTAAAAAACACATTCTTCTTTGATGTGCATCCACCTTTGGGTAAACAACTCGTCGCTGCTGTCGCTTTTCTAACCGGCTACGATGGAAAATTTAAATTCGACCGCATTGGTTCATCATACACCGAAAATGTTCCACTGCTTGCATTGAGGCTAGTACCAGCTTTATTTGGAAGTCTACTCATCCCAACTGCATATCACTTAATGTTTGAGTTGGGTCTCTCGCAATGGACTGCAATTCTAGCTGCATTGTTATTATTGTTTGATAATGCAATGCTTACACAAAGTCGGTTCATCTTAATGGAGACTCCATTGCTATTTTTTGCCTTGTTTGGCATTTTATGCATTTTAAAGTACAGAAGATGGCGGGTGTACTCATTCGGTTGGTTTCTATGGCTTGCTTTAGGATGTGCAAGTCTCACATGCGCATTGAGCGTAAAATACGTCGGTTTTTATTCTTGTGCGTTAGGAGCAACGATTATTGCTTTTGACTTGTGGCGCAAAATGGCGGACACCACAAGAAGCGATCGTCAATTATCACGCGAATTTTTCACAATACTCATGATAGGTTTAACTGTACCGACTTTTATCTACGTTGGTGTATTTTATGTTCACTTGGAGACGTTACACAAAGCTGGCCCGCATGATAGTATCATGACAAGCGCTTTTCAAGCAAGCTTAGAGGGTGGCCTAGCATCCATCACAAAAGGTCAGCCATTGTATATTTCTCACGGGTCACAGGTTACATTAAGACACACTCACGGACGAACATGCTGGCTTCATTCACATCAACACGTATATCCTGTACGATATAACGATAAAAGAGGTTCCAGCCACCAGCAACAAGTGTCCTGCTACTCATTTAAGGACGTAAACAACTGGTGGATAGTAAAACGCCCGGATAAAAATGATTTAGTTGTGGAGCAACCCGCAGATATCATAAAACATGGCGACGTTGTTCAATTTGTTCATGGAATCACTTCCAGAGCATTGAATGCGCATGATGTTGCAGCACCAATGTCACCACAATGTCAGGAAGTTTCTTGTTATATTGATTACAATGTTTCAATGCCTGCGCAAAATATGTGGAAGGTAGAGATTCTCAATCGGGACCAATATGGTGACACATGGAACACAATTCAGAGTCTTGTGCGATTGATTCATGTAAACAGTGGGCAGGCGTTAAAATTCACGGGGAAACAATTGCCGGATTGGGGTTTTCATCAGCACGAAGTCGTGACTGACCGGATTATTATTCAGGATGATACTGTTTGGAATGTTGAAGAGCACAGATATACAAAATGTAAGTAAAAGCTTAAAACAGAAAGAAAATGTTTGTAATTTTTGTATTTAATTAGCTGAAGATCAAAAAGAACGTGAAAGAGATTTAGTCAACGCGGAAATGATACCGACAGCCGCAACGCAATTGTCTTTCTGGGACAAATTCTACGAGTTGCATTATAAAATGATATTCAGTAATACGGATGGAGTGCAGAATCACATGTACAGTTCGGAACCGCTCGAATGGCCATTGATGTCACGCGGAATCGCTTATTACGTCTCACAGACTAGTAATGTAAGTAAAAATCATAAAAATTAATTTTTCTAGTTCACTAATGCTATAATTATTATATTTACAGGCACAAATTCATTTATTGGGTAATATCATCGTTTGGTTTTCTGCAACGTTCTCTTTAGCGCTGTATTCCGCCTTATTAGTGTTTTATTTACTGCGCCGGCGCAGACATTGTTTCGATATTGACGAAACGCAATGGTCATCGTTTCTCCTCTTCGGCGAAGTTTTCTTTCTGGGTTATTTAATCCACTACGTGCCTTATTTCTTCGTCGAGCGCACTTTATTCCTGCATCATTACTTGCCTGCGTTTACTTTTAAAGTTTTACTGACTGCCGCGATGGCCGAACATGTTTTCCATTTACTCAAGCAAAAGTGGCTTAAGTATAGTTTTATCATTGGTATTTTAACTTGGGTCTGCTGTGTCGCGTTCGTATTTAAGAAATTCACCGTATTAAGCTACGGTGTGACTGATTTATCGACTGACGACATTTTGAAGCTAAGATGGCGCGACACGTGGGACTTCATCGTTCATAAAAACACCTAAGTGACTTAAGATGAATCTATGAAAGTATAAGAGATATTTTATTTTATTGTATAACCAAAAAGCGAACAACACCGTCCATTATTTGAAGATAATATATACGTGTTATTTATATTATAAACGTTAAGCATACGAAAGTGTTGTGGTTGATTTTATTAAGACGAGGTGTCCATTGATTCCCCTTGTGGCTCATCAAAATACTTAACTGTGACATCAGACACGTCAATCTTTGCGGTTTTTGTTGATAAAACAGCAGTGGTGCCCCTTGGATAGCGGTATGACGACTGCCTGACTCCTTTTTTGTTTGCCTCGTCGTATGTGCGTAGATATTCGACATTACCTTTGCGGATAACGCAAAGATCCACGTTAGAACCAGAACCTAAGTCGTTGAAGATACCAGCGGCGATCGCATCACGCACCAGTTGTTTGCCTTCCTCCTCAGTGAGGTTTGGCTTCCATCTGGACTCAAACACTGCCATTGCAGCCAAAGAACCTGAACCCATTGTAGTATAGGGTAGTTTATCAGTGGAACCATGAGGATAGATTGAGTATAGATGAGGTCCGGAATTATCCACACCTCCAAGCACAAGAGCTGCACCAATGTGTCCTTGATAACGGAACAGATACTGCTTGAGCATGGTGTTTGCAGCGACCACGGGGACTACCCGATTGGTGTACAGACGGTGCAATTCAAGCTGGCTAGAGATTTGATTTGTGGTCATCTCTGTATCAGCTGCTGTACCAGCACCACAGCAACTAATTTACACAAAAATTAGTTAAAATATCATTTAGATATAATATTTACAAGTTTAAATGTTAAATACTTACTACATATTGGGGGCAAGATAATGAATCTTAGCACAGTTTTTATCAGAGACAGTGGTGTCTTCAGTGGCTCTTGTATCAGCACCCAAAATTACACCATCAGCATAAATAATACCGACGATGGTTGTACCGGTTTTTGTTGCTTTAGGGACCGGAAATCCCTTGCCGTTCATCGTAGCATTTCTATAATTAATTATTAATAATTAATATTTAGTAAAAATTGTTTTTGAAAGACACCGGAGAGGTTAGAGTTGAATGACGGTACAAAAAATGTAAAATCTTTCATTTTAACTCACCTTTTGCAGTTCTCGAAAGAGAAACCTGGGGCTTCAACTTGTGGGCACAACGTAAACATTTTGACGAGTTAATAAATACAAAACTGCAAATCCTTCTGCGATACAACAAAACCTCAGAGGGATAGATGATAATGCAAAAGCTTTGAAGTTCCACAATATCCCCACTACAATTTTATAACGTTGGTGAAAATGCTGCGTTGCCAATGTTACAAACTCACAGTAACATACAGGGTAATCAGAAAGAAGTTTTTTTAAAAACTTTTTTGAGGTTTTGAATGATGAAGATAAACCATTCAAAAATTAAAGCCAAAATTTATTAATAATGAAAAACAACTTTACATAACATAACGATTTCGGATAGTATATATTATTTATTACAGTGAACATTAAACGTTGAATACTTTAATAAGAACGTGTTGAAGGGGACGAACTGCAAAGTTCCACTAAAGGTCATCCATCATTCCCATAATTAATCTAACGGTATCTGCTCCACGACAATCTACAAACAAAAACCATTAATTTCATAGAACTTTAAACGCCATAAAACTCAAGCGTGCAATGAAAATCGTTATGAGTTATGTGATGTTAGTTGATAAAATGATAGAAACTCCAAAATCGCAACGAGGGCAACTTGCGAAGCAATAAAGCAGATCCCATTTGTGTAATTTCGCGCTTGCGCGGGCCATATCTTTTTGTTTCTTTTTTTTTTTTTGTTGTAAGTTACTCGATTTATCACGGTAACTTACCTTCGAGAGCATTACGCGATACTGATACTCGGAGTGGCCCGCTGGTCGGTCAGCAATCGCTCGGCCGCGACGCCGCAGCTCCTGGGTGACCTCCACCAGGTCCAGAATGCTAATGGGATCCACTTTGTGCTTGCCAATCAGCCCGACTAAATACTCGATGTAGTGCAGCCTATAACGAGTAATACACACAGAAAAAGTACGCTGGGAATGTAAATCGTGTTACGGGAGCATCAAAATATTATATTGCGCGGGTGCAAATCATTCGAAATCAAAGTCTCGGCAAAAGCACCTGGCTCAGTCGATTGCGATAGATGTTGCGGGGTGTGCCGTACGCGTTTGGCGGAAGGCGTTTTGCCGCTCTTCGTACTACCGTCTCCAAGTCATCGGCGCTGAGGATTGCCATTGGGTCTACTTGATTTTCACGAATCAGTAGGCAGAGATATTCGATGTAATGCGGCCTAGAATTCCACGTGGCGTTCGTGTTTGCAAAATGATTTACAAGCAAGTTTAATTTTATTTCTCTTTTACCCTAAATATGATGAAAATATTATTATTATACATAAAAATTACCTGCAAAGTCCGGCATTTCCTTTGACAACTTCTCCACTGCACACGGCATCAATTAAACCAGCAGGGGTTTCTTTTTGTAGTTGAATTGGGCATTTTGGTAAGGCGGAAGCGTTATCTTCATTATCTGCTGGGCCAGTTTTATCAAACTTAACTTTAGCTACCTAAAATTTTATTACAAATTCATGAAAAAACACAAAAACATAAAAAATGGCAACTCTGTTAGCATTGTAATGTGGGTTGCGCATAATCTCCACACAATTGATCAACAATGCATTTTAAGTCAAAATCAAAAATACATACAACTAATAAATGTTCCAGTTCACCAGGCTCTTTATCTCTTAAATAAAACAGGCAGTTTCTTGGATGATGAGCGTGAAGTCCCAACTTGGCACAATAATCGCTGACACCGCATTTTGCACCCATTGTGAACGGTTTGTAGCAACCGTAACAAAACTCATGTTTACATTGCGTACATGTGAAATGCATACAACCTCCGCGCGCCAACGAAAACCGGAAGTTACACTTCGGGCAAGATATACCATTCTCAGCTAGATGCTTCACAACCGCTGATTGTGACTTATCAGGATCATTAGCTTCCTTCCATTCGGAAAAACGCTCACAAGTAATACCCTCGTGTTGTTTTTCCCACTTTAAACAAAATAAACGCAATATAACAAAAAATAAACAAAGAATAATAAAAACTTACTGGTCTACGACAGTGTGCGCAAGTCACACTTCTACAATCCGGACAAACCAAACGTTTTTGGCGTGGATTTGCTATAAATCCGCTTGAACACTGTAAAAATCAACTTTATTGTCGGTAAAATTTAAAATATTAATATTACCTGCACACACCACTTAAAATTTGGATCTTGCATTAAAGTTCTATCTCTTAATTTACGTTGAAACAGTTCGTGGACATCCTCAGATAAGATTCCCTTGAGAAGAATGTCTAAGTTTGCAAAATAATCTGATACATCATCTTCACTGATGTCAATGCTGTAGAGTTCCGGGTGTTTACAAAATGGACAAATGCATTCCATGATATTACGATCTGTGATCTGAATTGTGAAGTAATTCTGAGCGCATTCACGACAACATGTGTGTGTACACCGGAGCATGGTCACCATCTAAATAGAAATATAATTTAAAAACATTTAAAGCAGAAACAAAGAAAAAATTAATTTTTTGAGTGTTTAACAGTTACAATTTATTGTTATTGTTAATAGTGTTAATATTACATTCAAATTATCATCTGTTTTCTCTTGGTTGTTAAATAATTCGTACCTTATTCATGGCGTATTTCCCCGCGCATAATTCACACTCTTGTTGTAAAAATGCAACAGCCGCGTCTAATGTATGACAATCTTTGACAGCTTCCAAAGCTTCTTCAGCAGTAAACTTCAAAGAAATTAAACTAACAGCAAGTTCAGCTTGTTGATAACTTTCCACTTGTCCTTCAGCAAGTAAACGACGTGCCTGTCTCTGTAAATAAACAACAAAACAACGTGACAACTTTAAATATTTAAAACAAAAACAAGCAAATGAAAAATGATAAATTCGTTCATTGATTAAAGCAAGATGACACACGAATCAACTAATGAAGGTTCAATTTCGGGGTATCACGCTTTACCTCCATGACTTCCAAGTCAGTCGGTTGTTTGATTTCTACATTCAAGTCCGTGGTGAGTTGTTCAGTAAAAATAAGCTTAGAATCAACTGGTTCAATTTGCTCATCGCTATCAGACTCAGAAACTTCGTTTTCTTCGTTTAACACTTGAAAGTGTTGATTTTGGGGTATAGCACCTTCATCACTATCTTCTTCTGAGGTGTGATCTTCAGGTGATTCATCATCGTCATATTCCGATTCGTCATCACTACCTTCATCAGATTCTAATAATTCTAATTGTCCGACAATGATTTCTTCTGTGAGGCGATCCATTTTATCCGCCAGTTCTTGTAATTTTGCATCCATGATATCTCTTTGTTCTTCGATGTATTCATCACTGTTTGAGTCAATATCTGAGTCTGAGATTAATTCATCCAGATTGCTTTCTGACACTGAAGAATCACTATCGTTATCAAGGGATTTTGTATATGATTGTTGTTTGGTTGAACTGGCATTCGAATCCAAAGAATTCACTTTCTTCATTGCTTTGATTGGAGAAGGTTCTTTTAAAAAGTTGTTATCATTACTGTCTTCTTTTACAATGGGACTTATTTTTGAAGATTGTGGTTTGTGTTCTTCTTCTTCTTCTTCAAATGATGACGATGAAGATGATACGTGAAGAAGATCTTTCGCAACTTGTACAAACTTTCTTGCTTTATTCATGAGTGTTGTTTGTTTACTTTTGGGAGCGGCTGGTGGTGGTTCGTGATGTTGGTCATCTTCAGCTGATGAAGAAGTGATTGCTGGAGACATCCTTTGAGATTCTAAAGCTTGTACATCTAGTTTTTCTTCATTTGAGGTTTTCTTTTCAACTTTTTCTTTTTTATTGTTTTCAACTGTTGGTTTAACACTTTGATTACTCGATTTAGTAGTTGTAGCTTGTTGTGGTACTGCTGGTTTTGGTTTAATTTCCTTTGTTGGTGATTGTTGTTTAGTTGGAGAAAGTGAAGGAGATTTGCTTGTGCTTGGATCACTCTTCAAAGACATTTGTCTTGATATAGGAATCCTTGATGGTTTTCTTGTCAAAGATGGACTGGCAGGTTCGGTTGATGGAATACTGCATTGACTATTTTGGGCCATTTGGACTGTGGTTGACACTTTTGGTAGGTCTATGGATTCCAGTGACGGTTGTTCAGATTCTGGTAAAATAGATTCTACATTTTCAGTTGTGGGTGGTTTTTGAATTACTTTTGGTATACCTGGTGCTTTTGCTTTTACCTTTTTAAGTTTCTTCTTTGGTTTTGAGTCATTTTGGTTTATATTTTCAGGTTGACTGGTTGCCGAAGGTTGATCATTGGGAACTACAGTAGAAACTTGTTCAAGAGTGTTAGAATCTTCTAGTGGAGCTTGTTGTACTTCTTCTGATATAATCAGAGGTTGATTTGTAGAAGCTGGTTCCTCGGGGACTTGCTCAGAGACCTCTTCAGGGACTGTGGCAAGTATATTTGTAGTTATTTGTTCTTCGTGGGCCAAATTTTCAGGTTGTGGTTCTAAAACTTCAGGCGTTACTACAACAACAACTGATTCTTCAGGTCTAACTTCAGGTTGTTCTACAATTGGTTCTGAACTTTGAATTACTTCTTGAACTGGCGCAGGTTTTGCTTCAACTTTGCCTTTTTTGGTCTTTTTGCCCTTTTTAACCTTGGACATAGAATTATTTCCTGTTTTACTTTGATTGTCAATAGCCAAAGGTAAACTTCCGGTTTCTTCGTTTTCTAATTCAGTTTTTATTTCTTTGTTTTCAACACCCGATGCCGAAGTACCAGGAGCTTCAAAATGTCTATCAGCTTCAACAACATCAGACTCAACAACTTCTACACTTCCCGTTGGAATCTCCAAAACTTCAGATTCTGAAACCTGAGCACTCTCTTCATTTGGTTTCATTACTCTATGAACCGTGCTGTCATCTTGAACGTAAGGAATCAAAATGTCCACTTTATCAAAAACAACTTCTTCAGTTTCTTCAAAATTGGTATTTTCTTCTATATTTTTAGTATTAAAATCATTTATATCCAAAGTCTCTTCAATCTCCAATAAATCTTCTCTATATTCCGCGTGATAAGTAGCCCTTTCTGGGAGAACCCGCGGTACGTCCTCAATCTGGGCTTTGTTTTCTTTGCTTAATTCTGAAACATGCATTACAATCTCATGTCTTTCTGGTTTTGTTTCGTTTTGATTAAGAATAATATTTGAAGTGCTAACTTTAGTGTTTTCATTGTTACCATGCTTCTTCTGATTCAAATCTTTGCTATCCGTAGGAGACGAATCATGAGCATCAACAAATTGTTCCTCAGTTTCAGAACTTGACGACTCAGACGTTTCACTTTCGGAAACCTCTTCACTTTCACTGGTATCACGTTCACTCTCTGGATCTGCTTCGTTTTCCGCTTTGGGTTGGAACACCATATTACCCTTGGTAGATACCCGAATTACAGTACTACTCTTTTCCAAACATTCACTGCGTGCTTCTTCATTGCTCACTGTTTCTTTTGGATCCTTCTTTTGATTACTATGTGTCTCGTGATTTAAGTCAGTTGTGTTACCGTTTGCGTTTGATTGCTGTGAAGGCAATGATTGGGGTTGATCGAATGAAGAAGATAATGATGTGGACGCAGAAGCAGAAGATGGTAGGATAGATGTACTTACGTCGAAGTCCAAGGCGGTGCTCGTATCCAAAACCGGCGAGACGAATTCGCTTAGATTCTGCACCGCAGTTGAAGAAGGAAGAACTTCAGGAAGAACGGAAAGGGTAGGCGACTCATTATGATCTACAACAACAGGTGTTGGTAATTGTACACTTTCTGGTGTTTCAATATTCTTTACTGGAGCCGTGGTTTTTGTCTTTTTCTTTGTTTTAGTTTTCTTTTCTTTAGGACTAGAACTACCAGCCTCAACAGCAACTTCAGCTTGTGCTAAAATATCAATTTCCTGTTGTATTTGTGCTTGAATTGCATCCAACTGTAAACTATTATTAGAAACCTCAGTTTTCGGAGGTTGAACAACTGTTGAAGGACTATCCACAGTCTGAGGTGGAATTATTTCTGGTACTGAAGCTTTCTGAGCTTGTTCTTGTTCAATTCTTTGTTGTTCTAGTTGTTGTAATCGTTGTTGTAACATTTGTAAATGTTGATCTTGCTGTTGTTGTTTTATAAGTAACTGTTGTTGTTCTTTTTGTTTTAAGAGTCTTTCTTCCTCCAATTGTATTTTTTGCAATAGTTCAATCTCCTGTTGACGTCTTAGTTCTTCTGCTTTTAACCTTTCTTCTTCTTGTAAACGTAATTGCTCTTCCTGAAGACGTTTTTGTTCAGCAAAATAACGAAGTTGTTCTTCCTGCAAACGCAGTTCTTCATCTAAGCGTTTTTGTTCTTCTAAACGTTTCTGTTCTTCAACAACCCTCTGTTCTGCTTCTAAACGTTCAATTTCATTTTGAAGTCTTTGTTCTTCTTCAAGACGGTGCAACTCATCCTGACGTCTTTGTTCTTCTTCAACACGACGTAACTCATCTTGACGTCTTTGTTCCCCTTCCTGTTTTCTTAGTTCTTCTATTTTACGTTCCTCCTCTTGTTTCTGTTGAAGTTGTTGTAGTACTTGCAATTCATGTTCTCTTAAAAGTTGTTCTTGAATAGCTTGTTGCTGAAGCCTAAGTTCTTCATCAAATTGACCTGCAGAGCTTTGCCGGGAAGTTCCCTGTTGTTGTAAATAAGTTTGTGCAACAGATTGCACATAATCACGAATAGCATCTTGACTGCTAGTCAGTGCCGGCTGTTGCTGTTGCACATTTTGGGTAGAGGTAGAGGGTTTTGTACTCACCGCTTGCACATTGCTATCAATCGCAACCCCAGTACTTACAGCCTCTATAAACAAACATAACTCATCATTAAACACTAAATTATTGAGTTTTAGAGGTGTATCTACCTTCCCCCTTATTTTCCAAAATGGCCGCCCTTGCCTGTTCCGCTAACATTGCAACAGGTGCAACGTTACCAGCCTCGTTTTCCGTACCCACCGATGGAGGTCCCCAAATGCGCATTAAAAACGGTTTAAGTTGCATTTTGGAAAGCTCCAAGAACGCGGGTTCTGTCTCACCATGGTGGGCAGTCAAAGCCGTCACAATGTCCTCGCGGGTAAAGTCACCACGAGATGCCAACTCTCCATACTACAAGAAAAACCAAACAAAATTTTAAACTGCTTTATTTACTTATTTAAAACTTCAAACACGTTTTCCAAAATTTTACCTTTCTTTGACGTTGGTCGACGCATTCATGTACGGCATCCCAGACATTACCCTTGTGTTTCCGCAACGCATCCCTTGCCTCAATCTCCGAAACAGTGCCAATTATATTAATAGGACCTTCGCGTCCCAATTGAGTAGCTAAAGTCTGCACGCTTGTGATGGTACCATCCCAATTCTGCTTCAACCAATCGATAGGATTCTCATCCTTACAATGGGCCATAGCAGCTTGGACCTCATCAGCTGTATAGCGATGCATTTCAGCTTCTCGTAATAATTTTACTAGTTCCAGACCTTGATTCTTTACTTTATCAAAGTATTCATCTTTTCTTGTGAGCATAGGAGGCGTATTCTGTAAATAAATCAAAATATAAATAAAACATAACAGATTTGTAGTCATTTTAAATTTTGGAGGTTATGGAACTTGGGGATAACTCATAAAACCTTATAATTAAAAATTCCGCACAACACAAAGAAAAGCATTAAAGTTTTTAAAGAGTATTGCAACACGTTTCTGTACCCTGTATCCATAGTCGTGGCTTTGGCGTCGATTCTGACCGCCATTTTGATACAGTTCCGGACGTCGTAGATCCATTATGCTATAATAACTTCTCTGGCCCATACTACCACCGCCATGCGGGGAGGTTTTTGATGAACGCATTGGTTCATAAAATTCAAATGGTTCTGGGCTTTGATCTCTTGGGCTTCCTGGTAAACTCTACAAATATTTATTTATAAAAACATTGAATTTCTTCATTTTTAAACAATTGGTGTACCTGATAATCATCTGTTGACATTAAAGAATGTTTACTTAAAGTGCGGGGCAGTGACCATTCATCACTGGGTGATAACGTGTTATGTAATGAATTAGACCGTTGTAATTCATGTCTCCTGGTAGGTTTGAACCTTCGTGAGCGTCCACTACTACGTGCTTTACGATTTTCAAGTGGGACATCTTCATAAGTCTGAAAAAACCGTCCAAAAATTAATAAATCATTCGGAAAAAATGTTTTAATTGAGGTTAGGTTACCTGAGTGGATATTTCCTGTGGTGGTGGGGATGTACCAGTGCTGGTTGTAACAAAAACTCGTTCCCTGTCAGGTTGAGTTTCAACGGCAATAGCTTGAACTTCAGAATCGGTTGTTTTAACCTCTTTAACTTCTGTTTCAACTTCAGTTGAGGTGGTACCTGTAGAGGTACCAGTCGTAGCCATTTTCTTTTCGTTGGTAACCGTCGCTGAAGTTGTTGTGGATGTAGACGTTCCAACACCGCACGATTTCTTTTTATTAACCACACTGTAATCGCACTCTTTTTTTGTTTCTGCCGTTGATACGGGTACCACTTGATTTACTTGTTGCACTTCATCTTCTGGAACAATGTACTTAACATTAATTTGCGTCCACATTCAGTACACACAACTTAAACACACTCAACACACACAAACACAAAGTCTCTTGTCTTTTAAATTTAATTTAGTGAGTTTTTAAGATGGCTAGTTGGTAATTTTGCTCGACATGAATTTCGTCCCGGGCCAAAAGGATATTTTGCGACTCCTACCTTTTTTCTTTTCTTCCAGCAGGAGTTTCTCTTGTTCTTTGAGGCTTTGGCGACGCAACTGGAGCTTTTCCAAACGATTCTGAACAGATTCTGTTTCGCTAAAGTCACTGGTGTTGAGTTTCGGTTGAATTTCTTTGACTTCCACTTCGATATTGCCAGGTTCTGTATCCTGGGGAAGATCTTTGGTCTTACAACACACCAGGCATACTTTTGTATCAGATTCGTTGAAATATGTGCAGTGATTACACTCCCAACCCTGTTTCTTTGAGTTGTCATCATTGATAGAATCATCATTAAGATCCATTTCCGGATCGGAGCTTAACGAAGGACTACGCATCTTAGACTTAGACTTCCTGCTTGTAACACTTCTAGCAACACTCGCTCGTGATGATCCTTCAATGGTATTCCGCCTTTGTAAATCTCTAGGCACCGATTGATGTGATCGTTTCGAATGACGTCGTCGTGATTCGCCCATGGAGGAACGTCGTTCGTCAATGGAATCATCGCGTTCTTCTTCCGATTCACTTCCGGAAGAAGTCGAAGCTTCACGGCGGTATTTCCCGCGTGATTTTTTACTCGTCGCGTACGATTTCCTACTCTTGATGCTTTGCGTCGGTGAAACTGGTCGTGAATGCGTGTGTGGCATCATGGGCGGTGGAGGATACATACGATGCGGCATCCATGCCCCACCCATCCAACCTTGTGGTGTTCCATGCATGTGAGGAGGCGGTGGGAAGTGCGGGCTCATGGGTGGCATATTAAGACTTAGATTACTGCCATGATGATGATGTGGATGCATCCATGGATCTACCCATTGTCCTTGATTCGCAGCACCGTGATGGGTACATGTGGGACAGTTGAGTTGGGCCATTGAATGTACCTGATTTTGATTGGAATTGAACATTATTTAAACAAATGATTTTGCAAGTACGAATATATCATCACAAACAATTTAAATGTAGTAAATTTTTCAAAATGTGACAGTAATGTGACTGATGCAATTTGGTTATTTATTGGTTACCTGGTGCATGGGTTGAAAGCCGGGTGTCGACGGGTTGCTTAGATCAAACACGGATGAACTATGCGCCGGGTTATGGGCGTGTCCTGGCATTGAACTGTTGCTGAATTTTCGAACAGGAGTGGGTTCGACTACACTACCAGCCCTGGCTCTGGCAGGTGTCCAGTTATCTTCATTATTAGTCCACCGATCAAAGTTCTGAAACAAATTTAGTTACCCAGATGCTAGCAACATGAAATTATTGCATTTCAGTACCTTGGGTTCATTTGAGACAGTCGTTGGTAAATTGGGAGTAGTCCCACGCATTATTTCCTGGTGTTGTTTGTATCTCTGTTGGAGGGATGGACTTGGTAAGTCTCTCATGAACCCACTTCCTGCACTGCCTGAAAAACACTCAAATGTAACAAAATATCTTTGGGGAAATGCAAATATTCTACTTGGTGTTGGTGGTAAAGGTCTCTTGACCAAATTCTTCAAACTGCTGCCCATTTTATCCTTCCAATTCTGGTTCATCATCGATGAATCTTTCCTGGGCAGCGTCGCCATGCTGCCCGCTCCGATTCCCATCATTCCCATCATCTAAAATCAACTTTCCTGCTCTGAATGCGCCACGACCTCAACTCTCTCTCAACTAAGCAACAATAGTCCTTAAAGGGAAGCTGATTTTGATTGAGTTTGTGTTTCTGTATGTGTATGTGCGAAATTCATACAGGAAGCGCAACATAAATCGTTTATTATTGTCAACAATCTGATTAATCACTATGTACATAAATTATTATTATCATTATAAGGTTTTAATGAGTTCTTATTAGCTAAAGCTTTTCGGGTGGGGGTAGTATTATATCAGAGAAGTAGAGAAGGACTAGCAGCAACATAACCCTACCTGGGAGCGTTGTGGTGTTGGTGATGGACATGGTGACGGGCCGACTGAACCGGAACGACGGCGGCGTGGGGGCGGAACTGGAGGTGGGGCTACAAGTTCACCTTTTGGGGGAAGAGGCGGTCTTGACTGTTGACGGAAATCCAAAGCCTTCAAAGGAATCATCATAGAAATAAAATAACTTTTCAATAAACAAAATTTTTATAAAAATCATACTCGTCTGATGTGAGTTGTTCTCTTCGGATGTCTATGGTACATGTCATCGCATGAAAGACAGAAGATTTGTTGACATTGTTCACAACGTACAGATGGTACCGAAGACCCGCAGAGCTCACAATGCTTACCATCAGATTTACCATTTTCTATATTTTGTAATAATCATTAAACAAAGTAAAAACACAAAAAAACATCAAAATTATTCTAAAATCTTCAAAAAACATCAAAAATATACACAAAAATGTTTATATTTTAGTTTTTTATGGTTTAAAATCAACGTACGTCCTGGTGGTTTACTTGGTAAAGGTGGAGGCGCGTTGGAATAATTCTGGGACCCAAAATCAATGACTTCATACTCAGGTTCTTCCATACGCTTCTTTCCGGTGCCGTTTTTCACTTCTTTTGGTATGGGTGGTGGAGGCACACCACCTCCTGACTTATTCTATACATTTTAAGTGATATATCTTAAAATATTTGACATTAAGACAACGTAGGCAACACTTACAACCCATTGTGGCATGCTTCGAGTGTTTCTCAGCTTTGTGGACGGATTGGAAATGGCCATCGGTTGCCAACCACCGTTTTTCTTCTGAATTTAAATATAAATCAGGTATGAAAATAGAAACAACAAGAATAAACAATAAATATAACTCAATGGGATTGTGTATCATCTATTTTAATTAGTATCTGCGAGTTGCGACTTAGATTCGTCATCGTTTTGTATAAAATTAAATTGCTCCACACTCAAGACACTCAACAGCGACGCATTTCGTACATTAATAGAAATTAACATATGGACACTATCCAAATAGTTTTATTTTCTATATTTTTATCAAATCAATGTAGGAATCAATTTACTACTCAAGCAATTGCGTTTGACAGGAATTACAAATATAAAATTTATTTATTAGTGTTTTCTGAACGTGTATCAACTGATTTTATATAAATTTTGAATGCCATTTGTGTATAAATAGAAATTAATCATGTTTTATTTTTATATGCATGTGTCACACACCTATTTGCACAAAATTGTGTCAAAAATGAGGTTAAATCAAGTTAAAATGTTGGCTTAAATTTGGCCCAATTGCGCTCGCACAGACGCAAGTTGAGAAAGTTCGTAGTAAACGCACGGAATGCTCCTCGTTGTAAATAAATATATTAGGGCATCGCGGCGAAATTTCGTTCGGTCAATCCAAAAATACAAACGCATTATGCTCGCGTTCATGCAAATATCCACGAGCATCGTAAACCGCGTTTGCGTAGATTTACAGGAAGTTTTCGGCGACTCCTGGCGGCTAGCGGTCGAAACTAAAAGAAATCTCTCTGATCTTTTGCCAAACTATTTTCTACTATTGTTTAACCAATGCATGACTAACTGTGAACTATGAACATTAAACGGTCGTTGTGCTATTAGATGACTCAAACTTAAGTAACTTAAATAATAACTTACATTATTATTATTATTCATTTTTTGTAAATTTTATTCACTCACAACTTGTTAATTACACTTTGATTTCACACAAACGCGTTTTGAATAAAATTCATTTTTTTAATTAAAATATTATTGAAATTGATGGTGGTGTGATGATGACATCGTCGAGAAGGAACCGGCGGCGCACTTCCGCGAGCGGTGGCACGACACGACGGACTCGCTGGCGGCGAGAGCGTCGCGACGCCCGAGAGCTGGACAGGGCGCGACTAAAATTAGCCGGCCGCTTTGTCACCTTGCCAAACATCGCCGCCCGACGACTATAAATACGACGTGAAGGAAAAATGTCTGTATTCTATGAGTTTACATTAGATTTCACCATCGGCGCTAAAGCTCAACGCTCAAATGCATAATAATGCGCCAGACGTCCCGGAAAACAATTAAGAAATGTTTATTATAGTTGGATCTGATATTTCGGCTTTGAAAGCAGCTAATGCAGCTGCTATATGTCATTCAAATTGCATATTTGAGATTAGAAACACATATTTCTGTTTTTATTTTTGTTTCAAAGTTGATATAAATTGAATTATCCTGTATGTGAAAAGACTGGCATCACTGCATTTTTAAAGAAGATAGGCAACCAACATTACATATAAAATGCAGTCGTTTGAAACTTTATTCTTAAACGTTTTATTTGACAGTTAAAGTCAAAATTCGTTTGTTTTTTATAAATAAAACACAATTTACAGAGTTTGTGTTAATAGGTGAGTGTGAATTGTTAATATTTAAAAGATTTTGATCTTCTAGCTTCCTGCGCGATGGCGCTATCATTCAGTTAGTGTCTTCGGCCGTCGTGCGGCGTTCTCGCACCGCGTGTATTGCATTTTCAGTGTGCACACGAGTCGATCGCGGCCAGCTGGTGCGCTTGCGTTTTAGTCGGGTGTGCGAGCACCGAACTGGCCGTGCTGCTTGGCGCTGCCTGGCCGTGTCCGTGTCGCGGTACGCGTACGTGATCTCGCCCTACTTGGCGCATACCGAGTGTTTTGTTTGTGTATCTTAACCTCTGCGGGCGCACACAGAGCGGACTCGGAGTGCTCCAGCCCCACGGTCGGCGCAAATGGACGGCGACGCCTGCACCTAGTGAACGCCGAGACGGCAGGTAGGTTGCGACAATTTCATTTCAACTCCGCTCTGTGCTCCCTTCGTGGGCATCGGCCGTGCGCGTAACGAGCGTATGCACGTACGCCCGTCGCACGCACACATTCGCACACAAGGAAAGTTGAACGTGTGTGCGTGTGCCGAGTGCGATTTTCAGTCGCTGCTGGTGGTGGCCACCCCATAGAGTCACCCTTTTTGGCAAGCGACGCTTCTCGGAGAGACACACCGCGTCCTGATGTCTCTCCGCATCTCGCGTTATCGCTCGCTGAATACGTGGCCCTTGCGCCCACTCGGAAGTCGAGGCGAGGCGTCGCTTGAACGACGCCCGACGGGAATACGGGAGTGCGTACCCGAAACCCTCGAGGCTAGACAACACACGGCGTCGCGGCGACTGCTTTCGTTAATTTCATTCGGTTTGCGCGTTTGAGTTGTGCCGAGAGATGGGACAGGAAAGTGCACGCGAACGAATTTAGAAATTAAGGTTGCACTTTGTGGTGAGCAGCGTCGACGACGGTCGAGCGCAGAGAGGCAAACATTGCACACATTGCCAACCAGCGGGTGAGGCATAAGTAAGTACATTTCACACGTTCGGACGCCTAGGATGATATATGAATAATTAGGCGTTGTGGAGAGAAAGCACCGGCGATCAGATGATTTTAGTGCATGGGTAAAATCCAGTTTAGTTTATACAGAGTGTTAGGGAATATTTTAATAAATTTAATTACAATAGTGTAGAAATAACTCATTTTAAACGCTAGGGTATATAATGACTATTTTGGACAATTTTCTAATTTTAAATTTAATTTATGGCAATTTTTTGCTATTTTTCGTAAATTTGGATGCGTAAATTTAGATTTTGCACCCTAGTGCGTTATTATTGGCAACCTGCGTATTATAAGTTCATCTACGATGGTGTAATTTGTATTTGGTAATCAAAAATTACCTTTGACCTTGAACTAATCTGAAAATGTCAGTGTCAAATTAAGAAAACAGCTGTCGTAGAAAATATCGCGTTTTTAATGCGTAAAATTCACTTTTGGTCACTCATTTGTGTAAAAATGGAGATTGAGATGTTTGAGGTGTCGAAACTACACAAGCGACACCCGAAAAACGTTTTTTTTTTCTTAAAAATCTGAAATTTTTAAAAATATTCTTTCAAATATTTGCTTTTTCTTTTTTTCTTTATATTTTAGATTTAGGTGCCGTAATATTTGTCAGGAAAAACCATTTTTAGTTTTATAGTTACAGTCACTTATTTACAAACTGTAACGTTTTCGTCTCTGGAAAAACCTTAATTTTGTAGCCAGTTTCTAAAAACACTAATGCCTAAATTACATTGTTGATTGATTTTCTAGTTTCTGCAATAATTGATAAATATTTCCAGAATGCGCTTTGCATAATGAGTATTTTTCACAATTACCAGTTATTTGTCTACCAGTGTTATTGACAATGCACAACCTAACGGCCCCAGTCGACCAGAACCGAAATTATTAGTTCAAACACCCATCATAAAATGTATACCCATTTTACATCGTAAAATGTAGTTCGTAATGAATATGCTTTCGATCCTTTGTGCCACCATTAGAAGACCAAACACTATTGGGTAAATCTAATCCCAATTTAAACTCTAATCTAGGCCGTAAGCTGGATAAATTATAATTACTATCTAAAGTCCACATGATGTCTGCTTCTATCCGCCTCGGTTTTCACCGAAACCGTGTTTTTCGATCATTTCAGTTGCACTAAACCAGTAAACCTTTCTGCTTCTATTCTATATTTTACTCTTTACTCTCCTCGACCTCCTAACATTCCTCACAACTCACAAGTTGGTTGTACAAGTACATGTATTGTCTGCGACTTTCTACCTGCTTGTATTTTTATTATACGGCAATCCACCCGTGTGTTTATTTCATTTCATGTTGATTCGCTGTCCCGAACTTGAGCGAGCAGTTAAGCTTTAATTTCGCCGAAAGTGCAATTGAAATGTAATGTAATGCAATTATGAAATGTGAAAAGTGAATTTTGCAATCGACAAACAATGCCTCATTACATTAAGCTCCCCGACGAATTACACGGGTAATTATGCATGTGTGAGTGGCGCTGGAAAGTATGTGCGCTGCTTATTTTTTATTTTTAAACTGGAAATTAACGCTGCCATCGTCTCGTAAACGCTACGTTGATTTAATATAGGTATGAGTATAGGTATGCGCTTTATGGTTGTGTGATTATTACAAAACGTTTTGTTATTATATTTCTTCATAAAGAAATTGCAGTCGATGCTTTTTAATATAAGGTTATTAATGTTTTCATTGCACACCAAGGGTTTTAACATGCGGTATTGTTTGAAAATTACACAAAAATCTATTTTCCGGGTGGAGTTATTTACAAATTTTGAAACAATTCACTGAAACTCGTAATTTTCTTCAAATTTACTTATTTTTTATTTGGGTAATTATTATTTCTGGCTATTTCAACTTTTTTTTTAGTTTTAAACCATCCCTGGGATGAAGGGAACCATCTTTTAAATCTTTTTAAATCTTTTAAATTGTATAATTTTCAGTTTTTCGTGTTACACGGACAATAGAAATACACTAAAGCTTCTTTAAAACTCCATGCAATGATCGGACATTTTGTTACATTGTAGCGATGTGTTTTTACACCGGGAAACAAAAAAAATTTCAAATATTGCGATTTTACACCAATCGACATCTGTTTAATCGTTTGTAAGCTGTTTATTAACTCGATTACTCTTGTAAAAATGCAGGTAAATATTTCCTGATGTCTAAATATGAATTCCGCGTCGCGTTGTTGTATGCACTTGTGTTATGTTTAAATGATTTTGTAGTAACGCAATGTGCACCCTAACAAATTAACTGAAAAATCGTGCTTAAGTTATAGAAATATGCATTGCAATTTATAGGAATGTTGGGATCATAATTACAACAATATTTCAAGTGTTACCATCGATGTCACGTCTTTGAAAAAATATTCTAGGTCATAATTGTTAGAAATGAAAATATTTTTCGTCGTTACACAGAGAAAGTGTAGCACTGTAACTGGAAAATTAATATTCTCGTAAACCAACCAAGTCCGAGTAGAATACATTTAGTCGTTAAAGTGAAGTTTTGATGATGCGCTTTTTTTATATTATTTGTTCATTGACTATTTGAAAAATTATCTTATCGTTGGCGTGTATATTCGTGCAGTTCAATAACCCGACGTCATCCTCGAAACATAATGATACATTTAAAGCTAGACCGAAACTAAATCACCAGCACCAACACGCTTGTAATAATATTGTTGGTGCTGGCCTGCTGCGTTCTGCATGTGACGCGTGCTGCTGCTGCAATGCATCGGAATTGAACTTTTGATGCGGCGGGCGCATTTATTTGTACGAATAATTCCCGTATTCGTAGAATAATATTCGTCAAGTGGCGAAAGTTGCGAGTGTTGCGACTGACCAATTTTGTATGCGTATAAAATATCCGGTCGATATTGAGCGTGCCGGCGAACAATTTCAGCGGAGCTCATCTCGTATTACACGGGGAGACAGACAATTGAGTTTGGGAACATTTAGAATTTGAATATTTTGAAATATCCAGTAAATGTATTTTGTATTAGGTTTTATTGGAAAAATAAGCGGATTTTTTCTGTTTTATTGGGAAATGTTTGGAGGTATTTTGTATTTCTTGGATTATTTATGTATCAGGGTATTGAAATTGCGTTTTTTAAAAATAAATATTCGTCTTATCAATGAATAATCATGGGAATAATAAAAATAACTTCAATATTGAAATTTATATACAATTTTCTGATATTAACTTAAATTTATCTAGTTTTTTTACCCTGACTGAAAAAATTGCCTTTAAATGAAAATTAAACTGTTTTTATCTTTAATTTACCTATAAATTCAAGAAAAGCGTCAAAGGCTGTTCTTGTTGGAAGCTTTTAAGACAGGAAAACAATAATAATTACATTATTGAGAATTAAAATAGTCTATTTTCTTGTGACGTAAATTAATTTCACTAAAATAATTTTTTTTATCGAAAATCACGCGAAAATTTGAAAATAAATTCAATTTTCGGATTAAATTAATTTAGAAACAATTGACCGAAACAATCGACAATTGACTGAAACGATTTACCGTTTGGTTTTAAATGAACTTTAAAGAACTGCAATATAAGATCATTCTCTTTTAGTTTATCTTTAAATTCAAAGATTGTTATTTATTGCAGCTATTAAAGTCAAGATTAACATTTATTACATTAAAAACAATAATAATTCTAATTTTGATATTAGAAATATTCTATTTTCTAGTCAAGTAACACAATTTTACTAGAATAAGACATTTTGTTTTTAATTATTGTATGTACTACTATGATTTTTATTACTTAATAATATTTCACTCATTCTTGAAGTTGTTTGATCATAAAAATTTAATGTAAAAACCTGAGTTCTTAAGCTCGTCCACAAAATAGTCCTCACAAATAAATTATAAGGACCCGAGCGCACACTCAGACTCAACATCTTCAACATCTCCGCTCGAATCGCATCAACGCATAAACATAAAACCGAAAAAGCCCACACAATTTTTTTCCGCATACATTTTTCTTCAAAAGCTTACGTTTAAATACTTTATTGAGTTTTACACGGTTTCGCTCCTCTCGACCGATACAACAAAATGCGTGGTTTTCGTTTTGGGTTTCTTTGTTTTGGTCGACCGACATGGATGTTGTGTGTAGGACACAAACAACACCGTACAGTCTGCCTGCGCTCAGGTCAGCGGTATTATTCATCTATATAGAAATTAATTACTATCCGAAAACACACGCAAACAGGTTTTGTTTGTTGAAAATATCCTCGTCTGTCTTTTTTTTTGCATGCTGCATGCACATTCGGATGTGATATTATTAATATTTTATGTAGATGTTATCTCTGCAGTGCATATTTGTGTTTCATATTCTCATGGATGAAAATTGCGCGCAATATTTACAGATGAAA